GAAAAGAGAGAATCATCGAATAGATGTAATAAAAAAAAAAGATAAAGGGGATATCACCAGAGATTCCACAGAAATTCAAACCATCATCAGAGATTATTACAAACAACTCTATGCACATAAACTAGTAAACCTGGAAGAAATGGATAAATTCGCGGAAACTTGCATCCTCCCAAGCCTAAACAAGGAAGAAGTCAAAACCCTGAATAGACCAATAACAATGTCTGAAGTTGAGGCAGCAATTAAGAGCCTACCACCCAAAAAAAGCTCAGGTCCAGATGGGTTCACAGCCTAATTCTACCAGACATACAAAGAGGAGCTGGTACCATTCCTCCTGAAACTATTCCAAACAATCCAAAAAGAGGGAATCCTTCCCAAATCATTTTATGAGACCAACATGATCCTGATACCAAAACCCGGCAGAGACTCAACAAGAAAAGAGAACTTTAGGCCAATATCCATGATGAACATAGACGCAAAAATCTTCAATAAAATACTGGCAAACCAATTACAACAGCACATCAAAAAGCTTATCCACCATGATCAAGTAGGCTTCATCCCAGGGATGCGAGGCTGGTTCAACATATGCAAGTCTATAAACGTAATTCACCACATGAAGAGAATGAAAGACAAAAACCACATGATTATCTCAATTGATGCAGACAGGGTCTTTGACAAAATTCAACAGCCCTTTATGCTAAAAACCCTCGGTAAACTAGGTATTGACGGAACGTATCTCAAAATAATAAAAGCTATTTATGACAAACCAACAGCCAATATCATACTGAATGGGCAAAAACTGGAAGCATTCCCTTTGAAATCTGGCACTAGACAAGGATGCCCTCTCTCACCCCTCCTATTCAATACAGTACTGGAAGTTCTAGCCACAGCAATCAGGCAAGAAAAGGAAATAAAGGGTATTCAAATAGGAAAGGAGGAACTCAAATTGTCTCTATTTGCAGATGACATAATTGTATATCTAGAAGACCCCATCGTCTCATCCCAAAATCTCCTGAAACTGATAAGCAACTTCAGCAAAGTATCAGGATACAAAATCAATGTGCAAAAATCACAAGCATTCCTATACACCAATAACAGACTTAAAGAGAGCCAAATCAAGAATGAACTGCCATTCACAATTGCTACAAAGAGAATAAAATACCTAGGAATACAACTGACAAGGAACATAAAGGACCTCTTCAAGGAGAACTACAAACCACTGCTCAACGAAATAAGTCAGGACACAAACAGATCGAGGAACATTCCATGTTCATGGTTAGGAAGAATCAATATCATAAAAATGGCCATACTGCCCAGAGTAATTTACAGACTCAATGCTATTCCCATCAAGCTACCAATAACCTTCTTCACAGAACTGGAAAAAACCACCTTAAACTTCATATGGAACCAAAAGAGAGCCCGCATAGCCAAGTCAATCCTAAGCAAAAAGAACAAAGGAGGCAGCACACTACCGGACTTCAAACTATACTACAAGGCTACAGTAATCAAAACAGTATGGTACTGGTACCAAAACAGAGATATAGACCAATGGAACAGAACAGAGGCATCGGAGGCAACACAACATATCTACAACCATGTAATCTTGACAAACCCGACAAAAACAAGCAATGGGTAAAGGAGTCTCTGTTTAATAAATGGTGTTGGGAAAACTGGCTAGCCATGTACAGAAAGCAGAAACTGGACCCCTTCCTGACACCTTACACTAAAATTAACTCCAGATGGATTAAAGACTTAAACATAAGACCTAACACCATAAAAACCGTAGAAGAAAATCTAGGCAAAACCATTCAGGACATTGGCGTAGGCAAGGACTTCATGACCAAAACACCGAAAGCATTGGCAACAAAAGCCAAAATAGACAAATGGGACCTAATCAAACTCCACAGCTTCTGCACAACTGAAGAAACAGTCATTAGAGTGAATCAGCAACCAACAGAATTGGAAAATATTTTTACAGTCTACCCATCTGATAAAGGGCTGATATCCAGAATTTACAAAGAACTAAAACAGATTTACAAGAAAAAAACAAACAAGCCCATCAAAAGTGGGTGAAGGATATGAACAGACAGTTTACAAAAGAAGACATACATGAGGCCAAGAAACATGAAAAAATGCTCATCATCACTGGTCATTAGAGAAATGCAAATCAAAACTACATTGAGATACCATCTCACGCCAGTTAGTATGGCACTCATTAAAAAATCTGGAGATAACAGATGCTGGAGAGGATGTGGAGAAACAGGAACACTTTTACACCGTTGGTGGGAGTGCAAATTAGTTCAATCATTGTGGAAGACAGTGTGGTGATTCCTCAGAGCCCTAGAAATAGAAATTCCATTTGACCCAGCAATCATATTACTGGGTATATATCCAAATGATCATAAATCGTTCTACTATAAGGACACATGCACACAAATGTTCACTGCAGCACTGTTTACAATAGCAATGACCTGGAACCAACCCAAATGCCCATCGATGATAGACTGGACAGGGAAAATGTAGCACATATACACCATGGAATATTATGCAGCCATCAAAAAGGATGAGTTCGTGTCCTTTGTAGGGACATGGATGAACCTGGAAACCATCATTCTCAGCCAACTGACACAAGAACAGAAAATCAAACACCGCATGTTCTCACTCCTAGGCGGGTGTTGAACAATGAGAACACATGGACACAGGGAGGGGAGCATCACACACCGGGGTCTGTTGGGGGGAAACGGGAGGGACAGTGGGGCGTGGGGTGTTGGGGAGAGAGCATGGGGAGAAATGCCAGATATAGGTGAAGGGGAGGAAGGCAGCAAATCACACTGCCATGTGTGTACCTACGCAACAATCCTGAATGTTCTTCACACTTACCCCCAAACTTAAAATGCAATAAAAAAAACTGAAGACAAGGTAGACCTGCAGCGTAACTGCTCCTCAAATCTTATCATTGATTTCTTCTCAATTCCATATTCAGTCAAGTATGAAGTCCTTTTGTCTTTGCCAATATTTCTTCTAATTTCTTCTCATTCCCAATACCTCTTGGCACAGTCTCCTACCTAAATTATTCCCCTGCCACCTAACTAGTCTCATTGCTTTTTCTCACTGTCATGCATTTTTCATATTGCTACCAAATTTTTCTTTTTAGATCTCAAATAGTTCAACACTACTCACAAGATAAAGGCCTTCCACATCTGGCTTTGCTCTGTGTTTTGAATACTATTTCCCTACATCAAGGGTTTTTAACATCTAAGTTTAAGGAGGAGGAGTCACGAATCTCCTAAAATTAAGTATAAAATGTATGGATGTGAATATTATTTCCAGAGCAACATCTACAGCTTTTTAAAAAAATTTATTTTTAGGCTTTTAGGCACCATGGCTCACACCAGCAGTTGGGGAGGCCGTGGCGGGTGGACTGCTTGAGGCCAGAAGTTTGAGACCAGCCAGGCCAACAGATCAAAACCCATCTCTACTAAAGAAACAAAAATTCGTTGGTTATGGTGGTGTGCACCTGTACTCCCAGTTACTTGGGAGGCTGAGGCATGAGAATTGCTTGAAGCCAGGAGGCGGATGTTACAGTAAGCCAAGATTGCACCCAAGTGTGCGACAGAGTAAGACTGTCTCAGAAAAATAAAATCTGTATATATTTAGAGAGTACAAGTGCAGAATTCATAGATGTACATTTTGCATAATGGTGAAGCCTGGGCTTTTAGTGTACCCATCACCTAAATTGTAAGCATTGTTCTCAGTATGTAATTTTTCAACTCTCAATCTCCTCCCATCCTCCCACCTTCTGTAGTCTCCAGTGTTTATATGCATGTATGCCCATTGCTTCTCAGCTCCTCCTTTAAGTGAGAACATGTGGTATTTGACTTTCTGAGTTATTTCAGTTAGGATAATAGCTTCCAGTTCTACCCATGTTGCTGAAAAAAAACAGGATTTCAGTTTTTATGGCTAAATAATATTCCATGGCATGCATACACACACACACACACACACACACACACACACACACACACACATTTTCTTTATCTAATCCTCTCTTGATGGCAGATCTACCGATTTTATCAGATATTCAAGATGAGAAAAATGTACTCTGAATCCTTCAACCTTGTCACATATCAAGAACATACTACATATGGGGTGGGGTGGCTCATGCCTGTAATCCTAGCACTTTGTAATCCTAGCACTTGAACTCCTGAGCCAGGAGTTCAAGAAGAGCCTGGGCAACATAGTGAGACCTTGTATCTGCAAAAAATACAAAAATTAGCTGGGCATGGTGGTGCACACCTATAGTCCCAGCTACTAAGGAGGCTGAGATGGAGGCTCCAGTGAGCCCTGATCATATACCACTGCACTCCAGCCTGGGCAACAGAGTGAGACCCTGTCTCAAAAAAAAAAAAAAAGAAAGAAACAACCAAAAAAACCTAACAACAAAGCTACAACCTCCACCTCCCTCAATAGTTCCCACATCAGGACAGAGTGATCACTCCTCTCTGAACTTAGATTTATAATATTTTAGTTATCTAGCCTAACCTTAACATTTCACAGATGAGTAAATAAATATAGCACTTATCTGATTTGTCCAAAGTTGCTCTTACACAATTTGTTTTCTGTGCAACTGAGATGGGATTTATTTCTATTTATGTGGCCTTTTTTAAGAAGGCCTTTTCATGTTTCTCCTTCAGGTCGAAACTAAACCTCAGAGTTCTCCGAAACCGCAATTACCTTTACTGTCTTATATAAGCTAGCTGCTCAAATGTTTGCTGAGAACAGTGATAATCAGTGTCATATTGAGGGAGAGGAAGGGGGCTGGTTAGTGGGTACTGGTTTAGAGGTACTTTGTTAAGGAAGTATATGCACATTTTGAATAGGCAAAATATTATTAAGTTTAGAGCTTAGATTTGGTAAAACACCACTTAAGGTCTGTTTGAGGAGAGCTCTGAGAAAAGATTTCTCAGAACCCGAATTTCTCAAGAACCCTCTAAACAGCATTAAGGAAAAAAAATTCCTCTGTAGAATCAACTAAAAAAAAAAATTAATGTCCAGTATTTGGGAAAGAGAATGAATGATAATGCCGGATTGAGTCAGCAACCCAGTAAATTCAAATTTCAACCCTACCACATCCAACCCATGCTGCCTTGGGCAAATTATTTAACTTTTCTGTGCCTTAATTTTCTCATGTCTGCCTACCTAAGGACTGTCGTGGGAAGATTAAATGCGTGTAAAACACTTAAGTCAGCGCCTTACTCTTAACACACTCTTAATTGTTATTAATACGAGAAGGGTTTTTTTTGAGAAGGGAGGAAGGGGCGCAAAGTGGAATGGTCTTTGGTACATTTTTGCTACAGGGTGGTAAGATTCTGAAACAGAGGATATAGTCACAGCGAGAACTGGAGTAAGAAGTGGTGGTGGGGGCATCACGTTTTCCCGGTGAGTTATCTGAGAGCCCGTCACACCTGCAGGAAGCGGAAGGCCTGAGAAGTGTCAGAGCAAGAACACACCCTCCACGGTGCATCTGAGAAGTAGGCGGCCGTCGAAGATTAGCGCTAACTGCTATGAGCGCTTTTATGACAAATGACACATCTTCTGGGGGAAACTCAGAGCTTGGGAGCGGCGTCATTAGCGGGGGACGGGGGGGGGCTCCCAACAGTCCCCTCGGGGTGACCGAGGGGTCGCTGAGGAAAGAGTGACGTGAGAAGAAAATGGCGGCGCGACCTCTATCGTTTTGCCTTCACAGTCTTTCTCGCCACAGCCCCGGCTGGAACGGTCACTTACTGGAAACTGCGGAGAAGCAATATATTTGGTCCGGCTTGACAGCCCCAACCTGACCGAGAGTGCCGGAGACCCAGCGCTGCTCGCGCCGGGAAACCCAACGTCGGACGGAGCAGGGCTGCGCACGGATGAGACGCGGGGAACGTCAGAGCGGAAATGTCCCACTTACGCCACAGAGTGGTGCGGGACAGAAGTGGCTCTTCCAGTTGCGCGAGACTTTGTTGGGGGCTGCGGGCACGGTGGGAGGGGAGGGCACCCGGAAGGGCGCGGGACTCAGGCTGCGGCTTTTCTGTCCGCGGCTGTACCCCTCGCGAAGCGTTTTCACGCACCTGTGAGGAACCTCACACCCTGGGCGCCAAATGGCAAAGATTTCCAGGGATTTGTTTGGGATTCCGTAGTTTTGTAGATTTGCCAAGATTTGATAGTAGTACAATATTGAGAATTCCCACCCAGCAATGGGGCTTTTATTATTATTATTATTATTCAGTTCTTTTCTTTAGGTAAGGCGTTGCCGTTTGCTTGGTATTGTGCATGTTTGTTTTAAGTTTTTCGTAGCTATTTTTGTTGTTTTTAGTTTGTTTTACTAATGGACTGTTAACCCATTAGTACCCTTATATAAGTATGGTTTTTGATTGTTGATCTACCTGGACACTTCACTAAACCTTCGTATTCTAATAATTTGACAGGGAATCCTCTTTAATTTGTAGGTAAGAGTTTATCTGTAAATAACAATTTTGGCTTCACCCAAGAATCCAATACTACCCTGAATAGTGGCTACTACTGAATAGTAGTAGCCACAGAGGTACTTATTTCTTACCAGGAGTTATTTGGATTCCATCTAAGGTTTCATTCAAAGTATCTTCTGCAGATTTATGATGTGCGTGTGTGAGTGGGTGTATAGACAAAATGTGGTCTTTTTGTAGTTTACCAAGCCATTCCATTTTTTTTTTAAATCAGCAAATGTCAGATTTACCAAATATTTTCAGTATCAGTCTTTGAGATGATTTTATGGCTTTTTTTCCACTGCTCTACAATAAAATAACTACAATAATAGATTTTCTAATAGTGAGCCATCCTTACAATCCTGGTATATTACTTTTTTCAGTATATTGCTGGATGCAATTTGCTGTGTATTTAACTTTGGGTTTTCATGTATGCACCTAAGTTAGGTTGGCTTATGGTTTTTTTTTGCTGTTCTTGTCTAGTTTTGATATCAGGTTGTGCTAGGAGTCAGACAGATTAACTTATTTTTATATGACGTGGAATAGACGTAGCATGTGTGAATGATACATTCCTTAGGTGTTGAAGAACTCATCTTTAAAGTCTTCTGGGTGTGGTGCCATCTTAATGGATAGTTTTGTTTTTTATATAGCTTCCATGGTTGTTGATACATATAATTTGTTCTTTTGCTTCGTGAGAAAAAGAGTTTTAATTTTTCTAGAAAAGTATTTCAGTTACATTTGCTAACATTTTTTTAAAAATCTCATATTGTTTTCAACCATTCTTATATGTTCTTATATATATATATTCTTATATATTCTCTTGGAGTCTTTTTCTTGATCATATTTATCGAACAGCTTTTGGTTTTATAGATAAAATGTCTTAAAAGTAATTTCTCTTTCATTAATGTATCCTTTCATTAATTTATTTCTTTGGGTTTATTTTGTTGTTCGTTTTCTAGAATCTTGAAAGCTTCACTTTCCTTTAAAATGTTTAATATGAAATATTACAAGAATATACAGTTACAGAAAATAATATAATGAACACCTGTGAACCGACCATCTAGCTTTATCCCATTTTAACATTTTCTCGTATTTGCTTCAAATTTTAACATTCAGATAGAGCTCCTTGTGAAACTGTCTGCAATCTCATTCTCCCTTTCTTCCCTTTTGGAATTAACTACTTCCTTGAATTTGGTATCTATCATTCTCATGAAAGCTTTTATATATGCTCCATATACATGTAGCGATGTTAAGTAACATACAGTACTGTTTTATGCTTTTTAATCCTATATAAATGATATTCATGCCACTTGCTTCTGTCACTTATAATTATGTATGTAAAATTTATCCAGGTTGATTCCTGTAGTTCTAATTTTTTTCATTTTAACTACTGAATAGTATTCTATTGTATAACTATACCACCATTTCTCCATTCTCAAGTTGCTAGCAATTTAATAATTCCTGATTTCTGTCACTACAACATAACGCTTGTATACAGCTTCTTGGACATATGGTAAAAATTTCTTTAATATAATATCTAGAAATGGAATTGCAAGGCGGAAGGGTTTGCACAGTTCAACTCTGATATTGCCAAATTGTTCTCCAGTGGTTGTACCAGCTTACCCTTCCACCAGCAATGCAGGAGAGCCGCTCTGCTCCACTCCATGCCAACACAGGTTATTTTTCTTGCCCTCATTTTTTTTCCATTACAAACTGCTGATAGTAAATTTTCTTGTACATGTTTCCTGGTACACATGTGCAGGAGTTTCTCTGAATATATAGCTAATTCAGTTATTAGCTCCATTTTGTTTTTGGTATGTTTTTTAAAAAACATGTACATGTCCCCCTCATTTGAAATTTCCCTCTTAATAGTAACACTTAACTTATTCATAGATACATCTCACTCATTGTATGTATCATGCTTCTTGTTCTCTTTTCTGCCTTTGGTTTGACAGTTTCTTTTTCCAGTTTTTTCCCCACTTTAGTGGTTTGAAAGTTATATTTGATTTTTATTCTATGAATAGTACTCTTCTAACTCATTTAAAGGTATATCATATATGTGTGTGTGTGTGTGTGTGTGTGTAGAAGTCATCAGTATCCATATGAGGCAGTCTGTATAGTGGTTAAGAGTGGAGCCTGTGAGGCCAGACTACCTGGATTCACATCCTAGCACTACCACTTTTTAGCTGAGTAACCTAGAGCTTATTACATAAACTCTCTGTGCCTCAGTTGTTTCATTTGTGAAGTGGAGATAAAATAGCATATACTTCATGAGGTTGTTGTAAGATCAATGAGTTAATATACGTAACATTCTTAGGGCAGTGCCTAGTACTTGGATCTCTTTACCAGATTTTTCATCTATGGAATGGGCAGAAGACCTGCCTATCAGAGTTGCAGTGCATTTTTATATGTATTCATTCAGCTTAATACACTATTTGAGCACCTACTATGCACTTTTGAATTAGATACGGTTCTTGGCTTCGATGATCTCATAAGGGAACAGACATGAAACGCAATTTCAATATGACTTAACCTTAAATACTCTTCCCATGTCCTCTCATGTCCCCCTTCTAATCTGTGCTCCAGATTGAGACAAAACATTAATCAGATCATGCATCCTCTGCTAAAAACATGTTAACTTTCATTATACTTTACATAAACCATAAACTTCTCACAATGGCCTGAGCCCTCAGGTTCTAAAACCTATGCCTCCCTCTCTAACCTCGTCACCTATCATTCTCTTGATGTCTACAGAACTCCTACCACCCTATCCTCTTCTCGGTTCCTTGAGCCAACACACCTCAGTGCCCTGTGCCAGATACTGATACACCCTGATAGCTCTTCCCATGGCTGACTCATCTTTCAGATCTCAGCTTGATTAGGTCAGTCTGTTAGTTACGAACAACAGGATCCACTCTGGTTGAGAAAGAAAAGGACTTTAACAGTATCTGGTAGTTCGCATACTCTCCAGAAGAGCCAGAGGCCAAATGTGGAAAACAACAGTACCCAGACACACTAGAGGGTCTTTCAAATTCCCTCTTCTTTTTTAATTCTCCCCAATCCTTATGTAGATCTGTTTAGCTATTCTCCATAAATCTTTCAAATGTGTTTCTGCCTGTTCTCTCTCTTATTTTGCATCACAAACATTCAGAACAAGTCTGAGACTTGTTCTTAATATACTTTCTTAGGGCACTCGGGAAAAAAGTTGAAAGGCAAAGCCTTTTGTCAATCCGGAGGCTGGGAACATTTACACACTGATCATTTTTCTGTACCACTTGTGACTGACCTACAGATTAGAAGTCTGAGGAGGACAGGGACAATAGCTGTTCTATTTGTAGCTCACACAATCTGACAAATACATAGTCAACATTTGTTTTCCAGTAAAAGAAAAGTTGAGCAATTGAGGTATGTGCAAGGAAGTAAATAGCACAGAGCAAGGACTCTTGACATAGTGAGGGTGAAACCGAACTTTGCAGAAATTATGACAGCCAATTATGTCAGTGAAAGAGATCTGACCTAACCAACTCCATCTCACTTCTAACCCCTGAGCTGTCCTTGTGCATTTCTGAGTTTAGGCAGAATAACTTTGGGAGGAACTTATAGTTTTACTTTGAAACAAAGATGACAACAGTCCTATCCCAAAACAAACCTCCTTACTGCCTGGGGACCTGACTGCCTTTGTAGGACTAACCAATTAGCCACAAGATTAGAAATTATCATTTAGGAGTCATACAGTTAGAGGCCACAAGAGTCTAAGCCTCCCTAATTGCTCCTAGGGATAACATCACTATTATAAAACCTAGGATTGGTGCTCAAGGTATCTTCAGACCCCACACTGGATGGATCAGCTGGTCCTACCCAGATCGATGGTCTTGTGGCTTCCACTCAGGAACTGACTCAGCACTAGAGAACAGCTTTGACTCCCCATTTCCTGGGGGACCAGTCAGCACTCCCCACTACCTTCCCACCACCCATGAGATTATCCTGAACCCCAGTTTTTAAATTTTCAGGAGATTCATTTGAGCAATAATAAAACTGTGGTCTCCCGTGCAAACCAGCTGTGTGAATTAAACTCTCTATTGCAATTTCTTTGTCTTGATAAACCAGCTCTTTCTGGACAATGGGCAAAATGAACCCGATGGACAGTTACAAAGGGTGAAATGTGGGAGTGGGATTACAGATTAAAGGAACCTTTAAGAAGGATTCCCAGAGAAGATGAGGCCAAAGCAGACTCTTGAAGGGCAAGAATTATCCAGGCAAAGAAGGTAAAAATAGAGAAGAGTATTCCAGGCCAGACATGGGGGCTCACACCCGTAATCACAGCTCTTTGGTAGGCTGGGGTGGGCGGATCACTTGAACCCAGGAATTCGAGACCAGCCTAGGCAACATGGTAACACCCTATCTTGACAGAAAATACAAAAAAAATTAGCCAGGCTTGGTGTTGTGAGCCTGTAGTGCCATCTACTTGAAAGGCAGAGGTGGAAGGATCACCTGAATCCAGGGAGGTCAAGGCTGCAGTCAACTGTAATTGCACCACTGTACTGCAGCCTGGGTGACAGAGTAAGACCCTATCTTAAAAAAAAAAAAAGTATTCCAGACAGATATGTAGCATAAGCTCAAACAAATGTCAGCTAGTTTGGGGTGGTGTTGCTACATGCAAAGTAGAAATGTCAAGAGGTGAGTCTGGAAGGGTAGATGTGGTCATGGAAGGCCTTGCATGTCACTCCACAGAGGCTGGACTTTTTCCTATGGGCTATGAAGCCACAGTGTGGATGAGGTCAGTCATACTCAGATTTGAGATAGATCATCAGGTGAGTGTAGAGGTTGGCTTTCAAAGAGGCAAAACTAAAAATAGGAAGAATAGTTATGAGTTAAAAAATAATGTAGACTGAGCAGGGGTAAGTAGTAGGAATACTTGTAAAGAAATTATTTGGAGGTCAACTTGGCAGTGCAGGGTGGGTTACTGGATAGGGAAGGTGAGGGAAGAACCTCAAATAGTGTCCAAACTTTTGGCTTGGACAATGATGTCACTGAGGTAGAAGAAGTGGAGGAGTAATAGGTTGGCAGTCTTGGGGAGGGTGGGAAGATTTCCAGTTCAGTATGGTGAAGTGGTCCTTAAAGTCCCCATAGGGACTTTATTAGATGTTCAGCAGGTACTCAGATATAAGAGTCTATCTCATGGCAAAGACCAGGGTCAGAGATGCAGACTTGAGGAGAGAGCAGCATGGGGGTGATAGTGAGTTCACAAGAACTGTGGGAATGCTCTGGGAGCGGCTGCAATTCCCAGGCTGGCATTTGGTCCTGTTGACATTCTTTTCTCTTCCCACCTTCCTTGGTGTTTATCTTACCTCTGATCATTCCTTCTCAAATGCTTTGCAGGCTCTTCTTTGTCTTCCCATAGAATGTGTTATTTCTGTGTGATTTCACCGCCGGGGACCCCTACTGTGCCTCCATCAAACCTTTACCTCCAGCCAGTTCAGAATACTTAGTGGGTTTTTTTTTTGGAGACTGAGTCTCACCAGGCTGGAGTGCAGTGCACGATCTCAGCTCACTGCAACCTCCACCTCCTGGGTTCAAGTGATTTTACTGCCTCAGTATCCCGAGTAGCTGGGATTACAGGCACAAGCCACCACACTGAGCTAAATTTTGTATTTTTAGTAGAGACTGCATTTCACCATGTTGGCCAGGATGGTCTTGATCTCTTGACCTCATGATCCGCCCACCTTGGCCTCCCAAAGTGCTGGGATTACAGGCCTGAGCCACTACACCCAGCCTCCAGCTCAGAATTCTTATATAAGATTGAGACGTATGTCTCCAACTGCTTTTTTTTTTTTTTTTTGAGACAGAGTTTCGCTCTTGTTGCCCAGGCTGGAGTGCAATGGCACAATCTTGGCTCACTGCAACCTCTGCCTCCTGGGTTCAAGTGATTCTCCTGTCTCAGCCTCCTGAGTAAATGGGATTATAGGCACCACACCCAGCTAATTTTGTATTTTTTACTAGAGACAGGGTTTCTCCATGTTGGCCAGGCTGGTCTCGAACTTCCAACCTCAGGTGATCCGCCCGCCTCAGCCTCCAAAGTGCTGAGATTACAGGTGTGAGACACCATGCCAGGCCTCCAACTGCTTTCTAAGAGAAAAGAGGTAGTCAGTAGTGTGGACTGATTATCCAGGGACCACATGAAGGGTTTGTACCTCACTGTCCTATTAGCTTGTATCCAGGACTGGCACTTAGAATTGATCCTGGCTGTGACTATCTCTTGTTTCTCTGAAAATACCAAATGTGGAAATCGGGTCAGATTTCAGACCTATTAATAAGCATTAATATGCACCTCCACACACAATCCCACTGTAATCCTTCTGTAACTTTCTCAAGGATATTAACTCCCCCTTTATGCTTAGTGTATTGTTACCTTATCAGGAACCAAAATTAACTCCCCCTTTATGCTTAGTGTATTGTTATCTTATCAGGAACCAAAATTAACCCAAAATGGAAATAAAAATTTAAATCTTATTGATACAGAAGAAAAATTACTGTTTCATTCATAAAAAAAGGAAAAATAGTTTACATGGATATACCTTGTTTTAAACAAAAATCACAACTCTTTTGAAAAAGGGTGTTTTTTGCTGTAGAACTCCTTGTTCTGGGATCCTTATCACTATTTCAATGATGAAGGAACTCTGAACTCCTAGGCAAGCCATGCCATGCCATACTTTCTATACATGCACAAAAGCTGGATAAAACACAAAACCAGCATTTTGACAAATTCACTTTAAAATGTTTTCCACGTCAACTACTTAAAAGAAGTTAGAACAATGTGATCTTCTACTGCCCAGGAAGATAGAGTGAACTTGGATATGATGAAGAACATTAAAAACAAACACACAGAGCGCCTGGTTCTGGCTGTGTGGGCTACAGAAATGTTTCCTGAGTTTGTCTCCGGTGATGTGTTGAGCATCAACTGTGCCACAGTTCACCAGAAGCGACACTCTGGTTCTTTACTATATTCCTAATGTGAACCGATTTCTTTGAGTTTAATCATCTGGGATGATTGCTGCAGTATGAGTCTTTAGCATTTTGAAAATCCCACAGAAAAGATTAAGAAGGTTCTTCTTCCCAGAAGACACTCACAGAACTCATGCTTCTTCTATAGGGCTAACTGTTCAGAAATTGTAAGGTGCATGGTCATCACCAGGTGAGCAGCTCTGCAGGGGCCCATGGACCATACTCATCCTTGCGTGTCCAGGGGAGCCAGCCTGTATATGAGCAGTAGGAAGTGGCATAACAATGCAGAAGGGCTCAAGGCAACTTGGCATTTTTTTGTGGTCAAACTCAGGCTCATCAAGAGTCATACGGACTCATCTCAATTTGTATATACACCTTCAGACCCATACAGATAGATGTATAAAAACATGATCATTTCTGTTCTTCACAAAGTACTTAGAATTCTGACAAGAAATATTACAAGTTTATATAAATGCCCATTTGCATAGCAGCTTACAAATTCAAAAGTTCTCAGAGGCTGGGCGCGATGGGCCGTGCCTGTAATCTCAGCACTTTGGGAGGCTGAGGCAACGGATCACTTGAGGTCAGGAGTTTGAAACCATCTTGGCCAACATGGCGAAACCCCGTCTCTACTAAGAGTACAACCAGGTGTGGTGGTGGACACCTGTAATCCCAGCTACTCAGGAGGCTGAGGCAGGAAAATCACTTGAACCCAGGAAGTGGAGGTTGCAGCGAGCTGAGATTGTGCCATTGCATTCCAGCCTAGGTGACAGAACGAGACTTTGACTCAAAAAAGAAAGTTCTCAGAGAATAGGAGATACTGTTTTAGCCATCAGCCTTGGCTCAGAGTACTTCTGACACCCACAGGAAACTGTAAAGGTTTTGTACCCAAGTTGTAAATTCCTTTTATCCATTTACGACATTTTCTCTGTCATGTACTAAATTCTATCCATCTTCACATTGATTTATTGTTATCAAAATACATTCAAACTGTTTATATACATACACATATAGGTGGACATGTATATATATATATGTGTGTATATATATGTACATATATATTTATTTGATTGAATCTTGTGAAACTGCTCATTTTTTTCCACGTTTGACCTATGAAATTAGTTTTTTTCATAGGGTTGAACCTAATGAAATCTGAACTGTAGCTGGCGGGTTATGTCTTATATATTACTAAGCAGTACTTTCTGCTTCACTTCAGCAGGGAGAATGTAAATCCTTACTCCATTCACCAGTTCTTATGTAGCCTTGAAAAATTGTGCTTGCAAACTGCTAATGAATTTCATAAAAATACTTAGAGGTATAGTAATTTCCACATATTTAGCATTTAACTGGAAAAAAAAAGAAACTGAGCATGTTGTCTTTGTAACTGGAACAGCCTACCTTATCTTTATAAAGATGGCTTTTGCAGGCTTAAGGCCAGGTCCAGAATCAACAGGCCAAACAATAAAATATCAAAGCATTTCAACTGGGAATTCTGCTGCCTCTGTGTCCTCCATAACATTCAATATTTAGAGTGCCTGAGACACTGTGCTAAGCACCAGTAAAAGAGAAACGCCCTGAAGAGTTCAAGAAACTTACCATCTTTCAAGAAATATAAAAATATAAATAATAGGATATTCTAGGTGTTTTAAGTTTCAAACTGGGACAGAGTAAAATGTAAAAAGACAGCACTTCAGAAGTTTTAAACTGACTTCAAACATTAAAGGAAAAAGGCAAATACAAATGTGCTTTGCGTCTAAATCCAGGTCAATATGATAGTCAAATGTGCTCTCCTCCATGGTTCTGGCCCCAAGAATTCCTCTTATCACCCCAAAAACAGTGACTAGAGATCCTCCAGGTCAGTTAAGTCCACGGCCACTTTCAAGAACAGAGTGTCATCTTTAATGTAGGTGTTCTTGGCATTCTCCAAAACAGAATGAGCCACAAAGCGGGGACAGCCAGATGCAATGTTCATCTCCCCATCAGGTCTTTTAAAGCTGCTGCTGTTGGGGTCAGCCTTGAAGGTCTCCATAATGTGGTTCTTTTTGCCACTCTGGTCCAGAAGCATCAGGGTCACCCTCTGCCTGAATGGCCACTGCAACAATGAGTCAAACTCTCCTCGCATGACCACAAAGTACAGGGACAGGTGTGTCCCCTTCCCAGACCCATCCCCATTCAGGTATGCTCTAGCACACAGCCGGTAGCCACAGCGGCTGGTGTAGAAGGACTGGCTGAAGATGGACACTGTGTGCCCGTCCACCGCCTCTCTCTTCTTCATCTTGTAATCTGTCACCTTCCAAATGAGCTTTCCATTATAGCAAGTACCCTCCAGCAATTTAAATCGCTCTTCATTTTTATTCAGCTGTGCTTTATGAATATTAATGTGGGTATCATGTTTGTTAGTTTCCTCTTCTAAAACAGCTGCAAATAAGGAAAAAGAAAGATTGCATAGGCCTAAAACATATATTTAGAATTTTCCCAAAGTGGAATTTGGGAATTCTGGTATCTTAAAGATGAGCCGAATTCAGTGTCTGCAAATGGAGCATTTACTGTAATAATACTAACCCAGGAAATATCATGTCTCGGCACACTGCCTCCAAGGAAACCTTGATGTGTACTATTAAACTCACTGAAGTGTAGAGAAGACACACTGAGCATTCAACTAGGGTGAATCAGCATGCTGAGCCCCATACTTTTCCAACTAGAATGCTTTTAAATAGTCAAACCCTTTTATATTTTTCCATACCTAAACAATGATCCCACCATATCTCTCCCTGCACTTTCTCATTATTTTCCACTCTTCTTAAAAGTCATCAATCCCTGTTGGAATTTGCAGTCCTGTTTCCAGTCTTGGAATTTCCTAGCCCAGTTCCCCAACCCCGCTCATAGTCCTCCTTCATTTTTGCCTGAGTAGCTAGAAATCTCATGATGCTCTCACAAATAGCAGATTCAGCCATTGTTTATCCTGGACAGATGTGACTCTCTATTTGGCCAGGTGTTTGTTTCATGAACACATGCAGACAAATGAGTCACCAAAAGAGAAATAAGATATCAGACATACCTAATCGTTGATCATTGTTTTCTAGCAGGGTAATTTTCTGTTTCACTGTATCAAGTGCTTCCATCAAAGGCCTCAGGTCAAATTTATTTTGTTGCTGTTTAACCGTTTGTGATAATTGATGCATTTGAGCTTCTAGCCAAGCCGACTTGTCAATGTGACTGGCAAAAACCTTTCATTACAAAATGGATCATGATGTTTAAAAAATTAGTTACTATTTTAGTAATTCATTGAGATTAACTTTTTTTTTAATTCAAACATATCACATTTAATCAATCAATTAACAGGATGAAAAATACAAGCCCAGAAAATAAAATTCAGTGAGGATCACAGAGAAATAAGCCACCTAATTATCTTCCTCCTCCTCTTCTCTTACCACAGCTCCTGTTCTAAATGTTTGAACTTCTCTTTATCTAATTTTTATCCTCCCTTTGTTTCCCTCTGCTTGGTTCTCTAACCCATTTTTATATATTTATTTTCATGTTATCTCTCCTCTTGCCCTATCACTTCTTTCCCTTCTTAGAGGCCAGTCTCCTGATTCACTCCTGCTCTGCCAGAAGTTGGAGAATGAGATGGAATAGGCCCACCTCTTCTGGCCTGAGCTCTACAGGTGGAACAGAAGGCCCTGAGTAAGGCCTAAACGCTTGACTGCTCTCTCAGGTGGAAAAGATTAATAAAACTACTACTCCCTTTCTCTGAGTGTGTATATACAAGGTATGGCTACTCAGAGTACCCATTTTATTTTTTCACTTTCAGTATTTGATAAATTACATGGGGAATTCAATACTTTAGTATATAATAGACTTTGTGTTAGATGACTGCCCATCTGTAGGCTAATGTAAGTGTTCTAAGCACATTTAAGGTATACTTGGCTAAGCTATGATTAATAGGTTAGGTGTACTAAACATATTTTTGACTTATGATATTTTCAACTTAATGGGTTTATCAGGATATAACTTCATTGTAAGTCAAGGAGCATCTGTACATGTATATGTATATATGTATATACACATATACGTATATCTTACATATATATTTCACATACATATATTGTATGTATCTGTGGGGGGTATGTATGTATGTAATGTGCTGGACAAATATGGAAATGATAGGGCCTAGATTTTCTGGGATAATCTAAATTTCAAACATATCTCCTATACCATATGTCTTGAAATCTTTTTCACTATAAATTTTATAATCATGATAAAGATATTATTCATCAGAATTCATTTGTGGTTACTTAACATTCATAATTTACAAAGTACTTCTTTTTGCTATATTTTAGTGATGTTTAAAGTGTTTTCTTCCCAATGGAATTAATATTTCACTTGTTCACTACAAAATACAGGACTACAGATGCTCTCAATGAATCTGCAATCAAGTGATTAATACTGGCCCAACATTAATTAAAACCCTAATTGCTATAAATTATGTAGAAGTGTTGTATCAATGTTAAAGTTACTGGGGTTGTGTAAAAGAAGATCTTTATTCTGAGGAAATATATACTGAAATATTAGTATGCAGAGGTAAAGGGCAATAATATACACAGTGTACTCCCAAATGGTTTAGAAAGCGCACATGCACGTGCACACACACATCGGGGAAGGAGCAGCGGCGGGGAGCATGAATGATGAAGCAAACAGCACAGAATGTTGAACATGAGTGAATCTGGGTGGAGGTTATACAAGTGTTCTTTGCACCATCTTATTCTTACAGCTTTTCTGTATATTTTAAATTACTTCTCTTTAAACACTTAAAAGAAAAATCCTCACTGCAATTGAAAGCCAACTTTTGGCTTTCAATAGAAAGGCCATTTCTCACCTGGATGTTTGAGAGGAAGCTTCCATTTCTGCCAAAGAACTGTGTATGCTGCTTGAACTCCTTTTCAATTTTACTTATAGTTTCTTCTAGCTTCTGGATTTTACTTTCTTTCTGTCCTAGGCTCTTGTATAGGTCAGAAATCTAATAACAGGAATGTGAGGAAAAATAAGGCCACTGAATGTAATGGCATGCATATAAGTTAAAATCATACTTGCAGCTAAGAAAGTAGGAAAAAAATACATATTTATTCCTAGGAAAATATTTACAGACAGATTCCTATATAATTGTAGGAAGTTTTTTTTTTTTTTGAGACAGAGTCTCGCTCTGTTGCCCAGGCTGGAGTGCAGTGGCATGATCTCAGTTCACTGTAACCTCTGCCTCCTGGGTTCAAGCGATTCTCCTGCCTCAGCCTCCCAAGTAGCTGGGACTACAGGCGTGCACCACCACACCCAGCTAATTTTTGTATTTTTAGAAGAGATAGGGTTTCACCATGTTGGCCAGCATAGTCTCAATCTCCTGACCTTGTGATCCACCTGCCTCAGCCTCCCACAGTGCTGGGATTACAGGCCTGAGCCACCGTGCCTGGCTGTAGGAAGATATTTACAGGTGGTTCCAAAAAGGCACAGCCACAGAATTTCTCATCAGCCTTTTCTATACCTAACCTACAATGATGGTTCATCTAATGACAGACATTTACTGAACTAGTTCTCTTCATTCATTCAACATGCACCTAGTAAGCAACCACAGAAGCCAGAACATACCTGTATTCCAAGATACCTGAAAGGCTGATGGGGGAGGATCACTTGAGCCCAGGAGATTGAGTCCAGCCTGGGTAACATAGTGACACCTTGGCTCTTAAAACAAAATAAAACTAGGCTGGGCATGGTGGCTCACACCTGTAATCCCAACACTTTGGGAGGCCGAAGCTGGTGAATCACTTGAGGTCGGGAGTTCAAGACCAGCCTAACCAACATGGAGAAACCCCATCACTACTAAAAAATACAAAAAGTTAGCTGGGCATGGTGGTGCATGCCTGTAATCCCAGCTACTTGGGAGGCTGAGGCAGGAAAATTGCTTGAACCCAGGAGGCAGAGGTCGCTGTGAGCCAAGATAGCGCCATTGCACTCCAGCCTCGGCAACAAAGATGGAGTGAAACTCCATCTCAAAAATATAAATAAATAAATAAATAAAACTAAGAGTACCCATCACCATACCACATTAAATGCTATATGCACAGTATCAATAGTAATAATAGCAAAAATTTGTTGTCATACCCTTTTATTCATTAGCTCTTGTATGCCTCAAAGAACCCTATGAGTTGCATGAATACTAGACTCATTTTTCAGATGAGGAAACAGAGGTACAGAGTTTAAGTAACGCGTCAGCAAACAACCCAGCAAGTGATAGGCAAAACATGTGGGTAACATACTGACAGATTTTATACTCTACTTGAGGGAAACAACTAGATACCTAAAGCTGATCCCAGACAGCTCTTCTCTTATGCCCACATCCATTCAATCTGCAACAGTTGCCAACTTTAACTTTTAACACTGACAATAGAAAGAAAAAGACTTACATCCGTTTCTCATTTCAGCACTAGTTTCAGTCTTCATTATTTCTCCCTTGGGCTACTACAGCAGCTTTCTAACTGGTCCTGCTCTACCGGTTCTACCTGCAACACACACTGTAACAAGCTCCATGGGAGCCGGGACTGGCATAAATCTCACAGTCCACTATGACCCCAGCAACTGGACTCGTGCCTGGCACCAGGAGGTGCTTGATAAATGTTTGTTAAACGAACGAACAGCATGAATGCTCTCCCTGGCTTTAGTCTTGTTTTCCTTCGATTCGTACTCCATACTGTGACCAGAATAATATTAAGAGAAAAATCTGGGCTTGAGCATTCCCTGCATGAAGGTCTCTAGCGGCTTTCTTTTATAGGTGACACTTGGCCCTACATGACCTGACCCTGGCTAAATTTTCAGCCTCAAGCCCACTCACATTCCACATGCATCCTTGCCCAGCAAGACCACACAACTCTTATTTCCCATCAGGCCCTGCTTTCTCAGACACTTCTCTCTTCATCTAAAAACTACCACTTTTTAAGCCTCCACTCACAGGCACATCCTCTTGGAAATATTCCTTACTAGTACTGCCCACCCGGACCACCTCTCAAGTTCCATGATATCCTGTTCACATTCTAGTGTATAAATCATCATTATCACACTTGTAACTTGCTTTTTGTTGTTGTTTTGGTCTTCTCCTCCACTAAATTGTTTCTTGAGACTGTATCTGCTTATTTCTTTATCCCTAGAGCCTAGGACAGTGCCTGGCACAGAAAAGGCATTTGATACATGTTTTATGAATGAATGCACAAATGGCTGAGAGAATCATTTGATCTCTGGCCCTAGAATCCTTTATTTAGACCCTGAGAGCTGACTTCTACCTACCTGCCTGACCAAAAGCAAACTCCTTGTCTCTCTCTGCACCCTCACCTCTAACCTGCTCCAGTTCTGTAGGCCAATCTCAGTTAATATCATTACCATGTCCCCTGTTTACTCAGCTTACTACATGTGGTTTACAACCTCCTCAGAATGTCTCTTGATGCTCTCTTTCCAGCCCACTGACATGGCCTTGGTCGAGCCTTCACCATCACTACCACCACCTCCAGCATCTTGCTTCCACCTACTATTGAAGTGCTTCTTGTGTGTTAGGATTGTGCTACTAGCTTAACCATCATCACAATCCCATTTACAAATGAGGAAACTCGGGATGAGAGATGAAGTAGTTTGTCCAAATTCATATGGCTAGTGTGCAACCTGGCTGCAAACCTAGGCATTCTGGCTCCAGAGCCTTCACTCTTATCAATTGCCATGCTATTACCAACTGTCTTGCTTTTAAAAAACAAACAAAGCCCTTTGAGAGGCTGAGGCAGGCAGATGGTTTGAGCTCATGGGACCAGCCTGGGCAACATGGTGAAACCCTGTCTCTACAAAAAAAATACAAAAATGGCCAGCTGCAGTGGCTCACGCCTGTAATCCCAGCACTTTGGGAGGTCAAGGCGGGTGGATCACGAGGTCAGGAGTTCAAGACTAGCCTGGCCAAGATGGTGAAACCTCGTCTCTACTAAAAAAAATTTTTTTTTTTTTTTTGAGACGGAGTTTTGCTCTTGTTGCCCAGGCTGGAATGCAATGACGCGATCTCAGCTCACCGCAACCTCCGCCTCCTGGGTTCAAGCAATTCTCCTGCCTCAGCCTCCCAAGTAGCTGGGACTACAGGCACGCACCACCATGCCCAGCTAATTTTTGGATTTTTAGTAGAGATGGGGTTTCACCTTGTTGACCAGGATGGTCTCGATCTCTTGACCTCGTGATCCACCCGCCTCGGCCTCCCAAAGTGATGGGATTATAGGCGTGAGCCACCGCGCCCGGCCTTCTACTAAAAATTTTTAAAAAATTAGCTGGGTGTGGTGACACGTGCCTGTAATCCCAGCTACTCAGGAGGCTGAGGCAGAAGAATCGCCTGAACCCAGGAGGTGGAGGTTGTAGTGAGCCAAGATCACGCCACTGCACTCCAGCCCTGGCGACAGAGTGAGACTCCATCTCAAAAAAAAAAGAAAAAGAAAAGAAAATATGAAAATTAGCTGAGTGTGGTGGTGCACACCTATAGTCCCAGCTACTCAAGAGGCTGAGGTGGGAGGATTTCTTGAGCCTGGGAGGCAGAGATTATAGAGACTCCAGATCGCACCACTGTACTCCAGCCTGGGTGACAGGACCAGACCCTATCTCAACAAATAATTAGCTGGCCAAATATTTTCCAATTAAGAAACCTCCATTAGCGCCCTATTACTGAAAAAATCATTAGTTCAAACTTCTGGCTCTGAAAACCTTTCTGAAACAAGGCAGAATATGAATGAATGAAAAAATAATTGAATGCACAGTTTTCAAAACTTCATAGGCTACACGGAAGGCCACTGCAATCTGGATCCAACACACCAGTCTCCAGCCTTTCCCTGTCTCATACTCAGAAGTCCATTCATCCTAAAACCCCATTTCCTTGATCCATCAGAATTTCTTATGCCTCCCTGCTTCAGTGCAAGCTCTCCCTTTTGGATGTCCTTTTTCCACATTTTAATTGCTGAACCTTTCCTCCTTCAAGAGGCAGCTTGGATATATTACCTCGAATAGTCTTCCCCAACTCACCCAGAATAAACTGCTACAGTCTCTGTACCCCAGACTGAGTTATACCACATTCTACAAGCCATGACAACTTACCTGTTTATATTTATGTTAGTTCTTCAAGGGTAGAGGCTATGTCTTCCTTGGTTCAGTGTCCCTAACAGCAAACACTGTACCTGACATATGGTAGATGCTTCTTGAATGAAAGGATGGATGAATGAGGCAACTGATATAGAAAGACCTTGAGAACGGTTACGAGGCAGCATGCCTTCTACCAAAGTTACTGTTTAATTAGTCTTCCTAATTTTCTCCAGGATCTGACCCTGGAAACTCACATATCTACTTTAATAGAAAAATCAGACATCAAAAAATCCTCTGCAGTAGTAAACATCACCTCCTTTTCTGAAAATGGATAGTTTTCTTCCCTACTTAGGCTTGAAAAGTCTGATTTTTTGAGATGTTCTAACAAAATAATTAACTTTCCTAAAAAGTGCTCAATAGAGTCAGCATTTACTGAGGTTAATATGAGTGCCACAGGAACTATGGCAGGCATTTGCATATCATTTCACTTGATAATCACAACTCAGTGAAATAAGTGTGTATGTATGCATTTGTCAGGCTGCAAAGCTTCTCAAAGGCAGGAGCTTAGACTTATCACAAAATTTATAAAACCCATAGTGCTTAGAACAGATAGTCAACTGTTGTTTCACAGTAATATTAATGTACTTAAACATCAAATTGACATCAAATTGCTAGGTACCAGGTATTAACCAAAAGCTGTGTAGATAGGCTATTGAGAGGCAGTTATGGTATACCATGGGGAGTACTGGATTTAGAATCAGAGGACATGGGTTTTGAGGTTGAATTCTGCTACGTCCAATTAAAACACAAAAATTTCTCAGAGCTCTTTTTTCGTCTGTTGAATGAAGGGGATGGACCCAAGGATCTTAATGGCACCTTCCAATTCTAACATTCTATAATTCTATGAGCCTTTTTGGCTACTTAACAGAAAAACATCTATCTCCAATTGACTTAACATGAAATAGAGGAGAATAGAAAAATACCAGCACAAAGAAAGCAAATCTCAGCAATTCTGTTGCTTCATTTTATATTTGTACCTTTGAAAATTTACCTGTTCTTCTAATTGGACGTTCTTTTCTAAAACCAAACGCATGTGCTCCCGTAAGGCTGACTGCTCATGTTCCTGCAGGTTCCTCCGTTTATCCTTCAATGTGAAGAGAAAAATAAGTCAGGTTGATGAGAGCTCCAAAAAATGAGAGAGGTGGTAGGATATTTTAACAACTTTGCTTACTTTAATAGTTTAAACATGCAGCAGTCTCTAGGTGGGTTGCAGGAAAAATGACTCCAGTGGGTTCCTTTTCCAGCTTTAGGATTCTTTTTTTTTTTTGATTGCTTGCTCTGTTGCCCAGGCTGGAGTGCAGTGGTGTGATCTCGGCTCACTGCCTCTGCCTCCTGGGTTCAAGTGATTCTTGTGCCTCAGCCTTCCAAGTAGCTGAGAATACAGACACCCACCACCATGCCCAGCTAATTTTTATATGTTTAGTAGAGACGGGGTTTCACCATGTTGGCCAGGCTGGTCTCGAATTCCTGGCCTCAAGTGATTCATCTGCCTTGGCCTCCCAAAGTGCTGGGATTACAGGTGTGAACCACCATGCCCTGCCCCAGCTTTAGGATTCTACCAAAACCATGAGACAGAATTAGGCCAATACCAAAATTCCCAGTGCTGATTTTCTTCCTTGCTTTGGGAGTATATGACTGTGGGTTAAATGGATTTATCTCTCAACTATTCCCACATAAAACCTATCTCCTTGGTGGGTTATCTTCAAATCAGTTTTAAGTCAACGCCAGTTCTTCCTCCTGTCAAGCACAGTTCCACGCTGCCTCCAATCGCTTCCTGGCTGCCATGGGCAGAAGGAATGCCAGCTGATTTTAATATCAGCCTATGCAAATTGGTTGCTCTCAAAAACCAAAAAATATATTTGTAAGAAGAAATGGTTGCTTTTTCCCTAATCATTAAAAGATTTATTTGGAGACTGCCTATATTACTAGTAAAATTAAATGTTTGTTAGGTGTTCAAGGTGATCCATCCTAACTAAATATTTATCATCAATTTCCATTCAGGTTAGGGTTGGCCTCTTTGGTGACAGGCTGTTCTAAATAAGGTTCCAGAGAATAACTCCCCCAGCCACCCCAAGCTCTGGTACTGAGGCAAGTTCTAGAATACAAACCAACTGAAGATTTGGACCTGACTGTAAAGATCCTTTTCAGAGCTAGAAAGCAATTCTGCATTTTTTTTTTTTTTTTGAGACAGGGTTTTACTCTGCTGCCTAGGCTGGAGTGCAATGGCGTGATCTTGGTTCACTGCAGTCTCTGCCTCCCTGGCTCAAGAGATTCTCCCACTTCAGCCTCCCAAGTAGCTGGGACTACAGGCACACACTACCATGCCTAGCTAATTTTTGTATGTTTTGGAAGAGATGGGGTTTCACCATGTTGTTCAGGCTGGACAATCCTGTATTTCATTCACAAGAAAGGTAAAACCTATTTTTTGGCAGCCAAGACAACCTCTGGTTTGATATGTGACAAATTTATAGACTTCACTGATTTTTTTAAAGTCTTCTCAGAATATACATTTTAAAATGGTTTTTAAAATAAAAGAAATATGTGCTTATGTCAAACAACATAAGATGAAGAATGATAAATAAAATGCCTCTCTATCTCCACACCCAATTTCCTAGTCTTACCAGAGTCAGTAAGGCTATATACATTTTTAACACAAATGAGAACATACTATATTTAATTTATATATATATATCTATCTCATTTTTATCAGCTACATAGTATTCTAAAATATGAATATATAACTATATAGTTCATGTTTTAATGATGGACTTATAGGTTGTTTTTAGTTTGGGTTTTTTTTTTCCTATACAAACAATAATAAACTAAACATCTTTGTGTATGTTTGTGTATGTATAATCACTGTATACTTAAAAAAGGATATCTGTGGCATAAATCCTAGCAGTAGAACTGCAGGGTCAATGTGTGGATTCCTTTTTTATTTTCATAGATATAACCAAACTGCCCTAAAAAACGTGAGGTATCATAAAATGTTTTAATCTTTATCAATTTGATGATATTAGGTAAAATATTTCTTGTCGTAATCTATATTTATTTAGGAATGAAACTGAGTATCTTTTCTTACATCTATCAGCCAAATAAATTTTTTTCTGGAACTGCCTATATACTATATATCTTTGCCTATTTTTCCATTAAGTTGAGTAAGTTATTAACATGTAAGAATTCTTTGTATATTAAGGAAAATAGCCCCCTTTTCTTTTTGTCTGATCATATGTTGCAAACTTTTCCCTCCAATTCATGGTTTGCTATTTGACTTTATTTATGGTATTTTAAAAAATCATATATAAGTTTTAAATATTTATTATTAAGTTTATCAAAATTATGGCTCCTGGTTTTGTGACAGTCATTTAAGAAAGAGCTGCATTTTTGGTTATAGTTTCTGGGTTTTTGTTTTGTTTTGTTTTTGTTTTGAGACACTCTCACTCTGTCGTCCAGACTGGAGTGCAGTGGCACGACCTTGGCTCACTGCAACCTCAGCCTCCCGGGTTCAAGTGATTCTCATACCTCAGCCTCCCCAGTAGCTGGGAGTACAAGTGCCCATGCCAGCCACCACGTCCAGTTAATTTTTGTATTTTTAGTAGAGGCGGGGTTTCACCATGTTGGCCAGGCTGGTCTTGAACTCCTAACCTCAAATGATCCACCTATCTCAGCCTCCCAAAGTACTGGGATTACAGGTGTGAACCACTGCACCAGACTCTTTATTTTAAGAATAAAAAAATTCACTCATTTTTCCTTCTAGCATTTTCATGATTTCAGGAAACTGAATAAAAATAAACTTTTTATTTTGGAGTAATTTTAGATTAACAGAAAACACAGAATGATAATACAGAGCCTGATATATTTTAATGCCTAAAACTTTGATCCATCTGGAATCTATTCAAAAGACTGAAGTAGAAATCAAATTTTATTTTAATTTTGTATAATTCATGAATAATTATTTTAAAGTATTTAAAAGGTAATAACATACATATTGAAACATAATTTTAGTCCATTTTGTTTCAGTATACTTGGTGATATACAAGGGTATATCACCATAAAACCAGGATTTGTAATCATGAGAGGAGTAACCTCAGAAGGTTTCCAAACCAGGTGGAGGCAATGGAATTGGAATTAGAAATAATTATTGTGATGGTTAATTTTATGTGTCAACCTGGCTAGGCTATGGTGCCCAATTGTTTGGTCAAAACAAGTCTATATGTTGCTGTGAAGGTATTTATAGATGTGATGAAAACAATTGGTAGACCTGAAGTAAGCAAATTACCCTCCATAGTGTGGTGGGCCTCGTCCAATCATTTGAAGGCCTTCAGAGCAAATACTAAGGTTTCCTGAAGAAAAAGTGCTTCTCCTCAAGACTGCGGCATAGAAACTCCAGTCAGAGTTTCCAGACTGCTGAGCTGCCCTGCAGATTTTGGACTTGCTATCCCCCTACAACTGTAAGAGCCAACTTCTTAAAATAAATCTCTCTCTATATGTATATATCCCATTGGTTCTGTTTCACTGGAGAACCCTAAAATAATTAGCTTTAAATTTCTCAGAACTGTATGTCTTTCTCCATCCTCAATGGAACAGAGAGTAAACTGAACTTGCCAAGTGAATTATACAGTAGAATGCAGAGACAGAAACAAAAAGGCATTCCATACCATTACAGCACAGCCATAGTGCTTAAAAGGACAGTCTTGCTCAGCTTCAGGACATACAGCCAGGTGTTCATCCACCTACGAAATGGATAGCCACAAGCATAAATTCATCACTGATTCTCCAACTGCAGCAATCGGGGAACCAAAGGTGACTTGGGAAGAAGGCAAGGACCAGGAGAAGGAGAGATGCCTGGCAAGAAAGAGCTATGATGAAAACTGGAAAGAGTTCACAGGGCAAAGAGAAGGAAAGACAGAGACATCATTATCATGAGTATAATTTAAGGCCTGGGCCCTTATCTATGGGATTTTATCAAACGCAGACCACAATGATTACCAAAACTTTATCTTCCATAAAATCTACAGAGAGGATTATTTGCAGTTACCTCCGTTTTTAGAATAATCTTCGAACAATTGTTGGGACAAACTACCGGGTATTCAGGACACAAGTTTTCCTCATGATTCTGAAACAGAGAAAGTGCAATAAAACAAAGCCAAGGGTTGTCTTCCATGGCCTCACAGTGATGACACCTGTGTCTCTTGGTGTCATCATGGCTTACTCTCTACAGAAAGTTATGGCCTAGTTCCAAAAAAGGATTAAAGATGTCTGCTTTCTAGGCATAAATTAACTTAATTGAAATATTAAAACTTCCAGTTATTCCAAAAAACAGTCATAGAGCACAGGACTCAAAGAAGGTAGATTGGGGAACTGCCAGCATAACTCCTTCAGGACATGTAAAAGGTACCCATGGTTTCTTTTTAGGCCTACATCCCGCCTCCCCAGCTACACTGCAGAGTTCAGAGAGGAGACATTATCATCAACTCCTTGTGACTCAGCACCTAGCATTCCTTACACATACACAGCACATGTTCAAATAATATTTTTGCCAACAATAAATGGAGTGCTACCAGCAAGAAGGCTTGAAGCTTTTCACAGAACTTCTCTCCAAAAAGCAAATTCTTTAGACCTACCTCTGAACAAAAATAAATGCAGGAATGTTGTTCTGGCATTTCACCGATTCACTGTGACCACTCAGGCATAATTTAGCTCCATACAGATGACTGTTCTGTGTGTTGTTGTTGTTGTTTAACTTGAGAAGGAATTTCACTCATCACCCAGGCTGGAGTGCAATGGCGTGATCGCGGCTCACTACAACCTCCACCTCATGGGTTCAAGCAATTCTCCTGCCTCAGCCTCCCAAGTAGCTGAATTACAGGCACACATCACCATGCCCAGCTAATTTTTGTATGTTTAGTAGAGACAGGGTTTCACCGAATTGGCCAGGCTGGTCTCAAGCTCCTGACCCCAGGTGATCCACTCATCTCGGCCTCCCAAAGTGCTAGGATTATAGGCATGAGCCACCGCGCCCAGCCATGTGTGTTGTTTACCTGTAGATTGATGACTACCACATCCTTTTTGCAGTAAACACATTTTTCCTCTCGAAACTGACAGTATGTACTCAAATGCTCTTTCATGTCTTTTCGTAGGACTGGTTCCTGGCAGTTCTCATTAGAACACTGCACAGCTTGAAATAAGCACTGCTGAAGGTGATCCTGTAACAGATAACAACAGGCCAGTGGGACCTGCTGAGCAGGGCAGTGGGAGGGAGGTCAGCTGGAAGGCCTAGAGAGGGATAGAGAACAGGGTGGGCAGCTGCGCAGAAAGGCTTGCACAGGGCAAGGCACAGTGTAGGCTCTCAGGGGATGCAGCCCACTGCCTCTGCTGAGGAGAGGGCATGGGGAGGGCTGCCTTGGTTGGAAGGAATTCTGAGGACAGGGGAAGATGGGTGAAGAGGGAAGTACACCAAGATCTAATAATGTGCTCATATTCTCAGGTTAGTTCTTGGATATTCCTTAATTTACAAGTTCTTCAAGGACATTTTTATTTCTTTTGTGCACTCTTCATCCGAACCCCCAGCATCAAGTATGGGTCTATGCACAGCAGATGGTAAAAGACAGGAAACAAGGAAAAGAAAAAAAGAGAAGGGCATATCCTAACTCAAGGAAGAAAGGCAAAGGATGAAGAAGATGAAAAGAAGGGAGAGGAAGCTATTCCAGAAATGATAAAGAGAAGGAGATGGAGGAAATACAGGTGTGCAGGCCCTAGAGAAGCTGGGAATGGTCAGACTGGTAAATGAGGAAATATTTTTAACCATTAATGATAATTTATTGGCCATATGTGCTGGATCATCCTCATAATCCCAGAACTTTAGGAGGCTGAGACAGGAGGATCACTTGAGGCCAGGACTCAAGTCCAGCCTGGGCAACACAGTGAAACCCCAAGACCTTGTCTCCACAAATTAATTTTTTTAATTAGCCAAGTGTGGTGGTGTACACCTGTGATTATATATAAATTATAAATATATATTTATATAAATGTACTGTAATATTTATATTTATATAAATATATAAATAATTTCAAACAATATATTTGAAATTAATAAATAATATAATTCAAATATATAATATATATTCTATATATAAATATATAATATATATTCTATATATAAATATATAATATATATTCTATATATAAATATAGAATATTTATATAAATATTAAATATTGATTATATATTGAATATTATAATATTGAATAGACTATATTAAATCTATTTGGTAGACTATATATTAAACATTATAATATATAATAAATATATTATATATTATAATTATATATTTATTACAATATTTAGTATATAAATATATCACTATTGATATTACATATCATTCATATGTATCATTAGTATAATATATCAATAATGTTATATACTAAATATTAATATTTAATATTATATATTTTATTATATATTAAATACCATATTGATATTTAAATATTAAATAGTATATATTGTGATATATACTATTTAATAGTATATAGTATTATATTAAATAGATATATACTATTAATTAGTATAATTTAATTGGTATATATCTATTTGCTATAATACTATTTAATAGTATTATATACTATTTAATAGTATATATACTAATTGTGAGGCTGTATGGCCTGCAAAGCCTAAAATAGTTAATATCTGGTTCTTTTTTATTTTATTTAAAGTTATATATATACTATTTAGTAGTATATACTATTTAGTATATATATATACTATTTAATACTATTTTGTCACATATTGTCTATAGCTGCTTTCCCTCTAAAATGGGAGAGCTGAGTAATTGTGAGGCTGTAAGGCCTGCAAAGCCTAAAATAGTCACTATCAGGCTCTTTTTATTTTATATAAAGTTATGTATATACTATTTAATATTTGAGAATGATGACATGGGCAGTGTTCATTCCAAGGTTCTTCATATTCTAGATTATTTTATTTGTATTCCTATACTGTTTTAGTTTTTAGTTTTATTTTATTTTTGAGTCAGGGTCTCTCTCTATTGCCCAGGCTGGAGTGAAGTGGCGGGATCTCCATTACTTGCAGCCTCCACCTTCTGGGTAAAAATACTTCCTTATGCCTCAGCCTCCTGAGTAGCTGTGATTATAAATACGTACCATGCCCGGCTAATTTTTGTATTTTTAGTAGAGACAGGGTTTCACTATGTTGGCCAGGCTGGACATTCTATGTTTTTTTGTTTTCTTTAAGACAGTCTTGCTCTGTCACTCAGGCTAGAATGCAGTGGCATGATCTCAGTTCACTGCAACCTCTACCTCCCAGGTTTCAATCAATTCTCCTGCTTTGGCCTCTCGAGTAGCTGGGATTACAGGCGCCGGCCACCATGCCCAGCTAATTTTTGTATTTTTAGTAGAGACGGAATTTTGCCATGTTGGCTAGGCTGGTCTCGAACTCCTGACCTCAGGTGATCTGCCCGCCTCGGCCTCCCAAAGTGCTGGTATTACAGGCATGAGCCACCATGCCTGGCCAACATTCTAGATTTTTAAAAGCAAGCATATCTCAATGAAAACCTTTGAATCACTGCAGTTACTGTGATGCTAGAAATTTACCAAAATGTTAGAGAACTTGTCCCTCTGAGGGTCCTTTAAAACAAAATTAGCAAGTGAGGACTCACAGGCCAAATCTGGCCTGCTACTTGTTTTTATAATTAAAGTTGTATTGGAAAGGAGCCACACCTGTTTCTTTACATATCGTCTATAGCTGCTTTCCCTCTAAAATGGGAGAGCTGAGTAATTGTGAGACTGTATGGCCTGCAAAGCCTAAAATAGTTCTTATCTGGCTCTTTTTTATCTTATTTTTTTTATTGTTTGACTCTTAACAGAGTTTACTGATCTTTTCTCAGAAGAAAAGGCAAACAGTTTTTTGACAGTGAGAGAAATATAGGTATTCTCATTCACCTCCGGTGGTATGAATCATATCATAGTTGGAATCCATCTCTTCTCCAAAATTTGTTGATACTACTCCTCACCTCTCACCCAAATAGTCGGCATTCATTGAAACTCTGCTACCTATAAGATTCTACACCTTACCACACAAGGGGGTGGAAAGGAAACAAGGAATGAGCGGAAATATAAAAGAAACAGGTGGAAAGAAACCAGCCCCTGCTCTCCACAAGCCTGTGATCTAGTCACTAAAGCTGTTCAATGGTCCATTTCAGCCTCATTTGCTTTTTAGGCTTAGTGACAACAAAGTTGGGAAAAAAGGCCTCGCTCGCTCTAGGACTTGACTATTCAAAACAAGTGGCAAAGGACACATGAAAATGTAACAAAAGTTCCATGAACCTCCAAAGAAATCCCTGGGTTAACAAGGAAATCATTTACACATTTATAAGCTCAGTGCCTGAGGGATTTGGAGTGATAGAGAAAAGACTGAATGATCTGAAATATGTGTTCCAAAATGTGTGGGTGTGCGGGGGAAATTTCAGCAGCCTCTCAGCAATTCCCTAGAAGTTAGAGATGCCTGAGTCATGTTCACTCGTAGTGTGGTCAAACTTGACATGGGCCTGCCAGGCAATGACAAGTTTCTAGCTTCCCATTTAACCACCTTCCCTAGCTGGAGGGAAGAGCAGCTGGCCTTACTTGATTTGAAAGGCACTCAATTCCCCTTCACTTACATTTCCCCTGCACCTTGTTGGTTTGTCTTTCCTGTCAATGCTTTACCTTTTAACCCACAGCCTGTCTCTGCCTTCATCTGAGTGGTCTGCCATAGATCATAAACCCCATTAGACCAGGCCTCACAGTTGCTGGGAAATTCCTAAGACACCACCAAGTGAGAGAGAAAATGCTTTCGGAGAAGGACCTCACAACCGTCTTTCTGTATTCATCCCCGGGGTCCCAGCCAGTTCCCCCAAAATGACATATTCTGTGTTTGTTTGGTCGAGCATGCCCCACACCCTCTCATTTGGCTTGGCTCAATGATCCCTACCACACAATTAAGGTCTAGTGGATACAAGATGTCTTTCCTGCGCTCCATACAGGATGAACCTCTTCACTCACACCTCAGCCCTAGGGGTGCCACAGCACTGTAGCCACCGGTATTGCTAGACTGGGAATCTCTGAGGGCAATCCACTGAATCCCTGTTACATGCTTAGCTCAGTAACTGCCACATAAAGGGGTTCGATACACATCCCTGGAAAAATGGCAAAGGCAGATATTGTTCATGAGTAATACCAACCTGGTACCGGCCCAGAATAAGCTTCGCATTACATCCAGGAGCATTGCTGCAATATACATATAAGTTGAGGACTTCTCTTTTGCAGCAATTGTCTTTAAAAACCTAAAAGGTAAACATAATAGTTCTCACACACTTCAAAGTTTTACAGCAATGTGAATTAAACTATTTTAATTTGGTCTTCAAGTGTATCTCAGAAGGCAGGTGGAAACTTCCAGACAACTGCTGGAATGGAAATATTACACTTACACCACACTGAAAGAAAAGGCTGTCTCAGATATACGCTTTTGACAAACCATCAAACATACAAGCCAGGTAACAATGCCCAGTGCAACAGGCTGCAGCTAGGCAAATCTCATGGTGAACTTGACCCCACATTCTCAAAGGTCAGGAGGTGAAGCTTAGCCAAGAGTGATGCTTTCAGCTTCCTGTCCCAGGGTAAATGTTTCACTCATCAGATAGCATCACCCAGGCTGTGCTGGCTTGCTATTTTAGCACAAACCAGGAGTTCACAAACTGTAAGGGGTCAGATAGTCCACATCACAATTGTTTCTGTTGCCATGTTTCAATTCTTCGATATACAATACCTAAATGAATGGGAACAGCTATGTTCCAATGAAACACTATTTATGAACACTGAAATTTGAATCTCATATCACAAACCTTCTCTGGATTATTTTAAAAGACTTTATTTTGAAGTAGTTTAAGACTCACAAGAAGCTGCAAAAATACAAGGTTTCTATGCATCCACCATTACATAAAAAGAGTTTCTTAGCTTACAGGACATACAAAAATGGGTGGCAGGGTGGATTTGTCCCAAGACTGTAGTATGTCAACCCCTGGAATAGTAGCTCAGACAGACACTAAGTACAGCACAGCCCTGTTGTAGATATTTGCAAAACACATTATAAGAAGTATAGAGAAGGTGCATATACAGCACACCAGAGGCTGAAGCGAAGCTTCTGCTTAAACATGCTGCAACAGAACCCTAAAGGAAGAAAACTGAACTTAAAGAGGAGTTTTAAGGGAGAAAATCTTCCTGACATGGGACAGACAATGGTTTCTTGGATACAACACCAAAAGAACAAGCAACCAAAAAAAGAAAAAAAAAACAGATGAATTAGACTTCATCAAAATGAAAAGTTTTTGTGCTTTAAACATAGTACAAGAAAGGGAAAAGACAACCCACAGAATGGAAGAAAAATATTTGCAGATATTTATATCCAGAATATGTAAAGAACTTTTATTTTTTTTTTTTTGAGACAGAGTCTTGCTCTGTCACCTCGGCTGGAGTGCAGTGGCATGATCTCAGCTCACTGAAACCTCCAACTCCCGGGTTCAAGTGATTCTCATGCCTCAACCTCCCAGGTAGCTGGGATTACAGTCGTGCACTACCACACACAGCTAATTATTGTATTTTTTAGTAGAGACAGGGTTTTGCCATGTTGGTCAAGCTGGTTTCGAACTCCTGGACTTATATGATCTGCCTGCCTCAGTCTCCCAAACTGCTGGGATTACAGGCTATAAACAACTTTTATAATGCAACAACAGGCAAATAATTCAAGTTTTTAAAATAAGCAAAGGAAATAAATAGGCATTTTTAACAAAGAAGATATACAAATAGCCAATAAGCACCTGAAAAAATTCCCAAACTCATCAGCCAACAGGAAAATGCAAATCAAAACCATAATGAAATACATTAGCTGGAGCTAATATAGGAAGGAGATAAGGAAGAACCAGGAGAGGAGACTTGGGGTGGAGGAAGGGTGTGGTCAACAAAGATCCCAACAAGCCTCTGAAACAGGGCTATGAGTCGGGTCTGATGTGACCCCACAGGAGAGGAATGTGGACTCCAAGGAAGGTCTCCCTTGACCACTCTCCTGCTCCAATCTCTATGTCCAATTCATTGACTTCTTTCCTATCACCCTGAGAGCTGCTAGACCAAAGCAGTGACTTTCTTACCTCCTGAGATTTGATGACCTCCTTATCTACAGGGCAAATTGGCACTGTGTTTAATTCTCTGGAGAGAAAAATAAAAATGGAGCCAGAGTTAGGTGTTTACCTCAACAGCATTTCCAAAAGCAGCCCCAGGGCTCCAGCCATGCTCTAGCCCTGGGCAGGCTGGTCCCTGTCTATACATGCTGTTCTCTCTACCCAGAAGGTGCCTACTGCACCCCTCCTTCACACCTTCCTAGTTTTTCAGTTTGCCTGAAAAACTTCATGCCTCCTCCAGAATGCAGTCAGTGGACAAAACTAAATGCCCCTTGTCCTTTGTTTATCACACTGTACTACATCTGTCTCCTTCTCAGGACTGGGGCATTCTACAGGGAAGACAGGGGGTCCTGTTCCACACTGTAGCTCTTCAGCACGAGAGCACAGAACACACAGGTGCTGCATGCACGAACACATGAGAACGAGAATCCACTGTAATAACCCACTTTCAAGGTTTGGCAGGGTAAAATGACTGCCTTGTTTCCTATATAACCCCCCCAAAGTGTGTCTGCTTCCACATCTCTCCTGGTCTCCTCCCTCAACACAGCATGACCCAGGTCTTACAGCTGCCCAGGAGTGGACAGCATCCATGGCAGCAAGGTCTCTTCTAGGTGCTACAGCACGTCTGCCTCAAGGAAAGGGAAGATTGGAATGACTACAACACAGACACTGTGAGATTCAAGCTCTTCCACACAGCCAGCTCCCATAATGGAGTGTGTGTCTAGGTCTGCTCTCCCATCTGAAACAGATGCAGTCTGAATTTTAAGAAAAGGATATCTGTAAATTAATTTTAAGAAAGAATATCTGTAAATTAATAACCCAAAAATGATTATTCTTCAGAACCTCACAGAGGATCTGGGAGAGTCCCTCCTTATAGTCATGGTTCTGTGGCCAAGTAAAGCAACCCCAAAAACCATGAGAACAGCTGAGTGGCCACAGTTGGCACCTGGATGCTGGGCCTGCCATGGCCGGAGTTGTAGGCCCTGCCCACTCACCTCAGGGACAGGATGCAGTGCTGGCAGAAGCGGTGCCCACATCCCGTCTGGTGGGGGTTGTGAAGCACCGAGTGGCAGAAGGCACATTTGTAGCGTTCTTCCAACGGCTCCACAAACCGGTACTCTATATTGGGCTCAAAGTCCAAGGAAATGGAGTTGCCGGAATTCTGGCGGATGAAACCACAGGGCTCACCTCTATGCTCTTCTGAATAAGCCATTCTGCAGAGGTCAGGGGAGGAGAAGGAAAATTAAGTGTGCAAACACCAAAACAACTACAGCCATCAGATGCTTTGGTTATTTGTCCTATAAATAGTATATATCATTCACATGGTCATTCTGTTGTGACTTTGTAACAACAGTGAAAACCTCCCACCACTGGAGGGGCTCTGGCAAAGGTACAATGTCTTTGGAGTGCTCCGGTTAGAGGCTGGGACCAGATGACTTCTAGCAAGATTCTATGAGACTTCAGTTCTTTGTCCATCAGCCTTTTACAGGGTGCTAAATTACCCTGTCAGTTTGGCCACATGTTTGGACAAAATATAAATTTTTAGAGGCAAATATATTTCTCACCGTCTTGGAAGCACAGAGCAAGCGTTTACCAGACACTGAACATGCTGATGTCTTCAACCTGGAATTTCCAGCCTCCAAAACTATGAGAAATAAATTTCTGTTTTTTATAAATTACTCAGTCTGAGGTATTTTGTTATATCAGCACAAACAGACTAACACTTCTTTTTCTTTTTTTCAGGGACAAGTTCTCACTCTGTAGCCCAGGCTGGAGTACAGTGCTGTGATCACGGCTCACTATAATCTCCAACTCTTGGGTTCAACGGATCCCTCCCCAGTAGCTAGAACTACAGGCACTATAGGCACACACCACCACACCTGGCCAATTTAAAAAAAAAATTCTTTTTTAGAGACAGTGACATGCTTTGTCTATACGCCCACCCAAATCTCCTCTTGAATTCCCACATGTTGTGGAAGGGACCCAGTGGAAGGCAACTCAATTGTGGTCTTTCCAGTGCTATTTTTGTGACAGTGAATAAGTCTCATGAGATCTGATGACTTTATAGGGCAGTTTCCCTGCACAAGCTCTCTCTCTCTCTTTGCCTGCTGCCATCCATGTAAGATGTGACTTGCTTCTCCCTGCCTTCTGCCATGATTTGGGAACTTCTACAGCCACATGGAACTGTAAGTCCATTAAACCTTTTCCTTTTGTCAATTGCCCAGTCTTGGGTATGCCTTTTTTTTTTAATTATTACGAAGTCTTGCTCTGTTGCCACACTAGAGAACAGTGGCATAATCTCAGCTCACTGCAACCTCTGCCTCTCAGGTTCAAGCGATTCTCCTGCCTCAGCCTCCCAAATAGCTGGGACTACAGGTACATGCCACCACGCCCAGCTAATTTTTTTTTATTTTTAGTAGAGACAGGTTTCACCATGTTGGCTAGGATGGTCTCAATCTCTTGACCTCATGATCCGACAACCTTGGCCTCCCAAAGTACTGGGATTACAGACGTGAGCCACCACACCTGTCTGGGTGTATCTTTATCAGCAGCAGGAAAACAGACTAATACAGACAGGGTCCCTTTATGTTACCCAGGCTGGTCTTGAACTCCTAGACACAAGTGATCCTTGTGGCTCAGCCTCCAAAGTGCTGGGTAAGCCACCGCACGTGGCCTAAGAAAACACTCTTAAAACTTGTGGAGCCAAAGACCCAACACAGCAGCACAACATCAAAGAAGAAGAACAAAGCTGGAGGACTGACATTACACAACTTCAAAACTTATTATAAAGCTACAATAATTAAGACAGTGTAGTACTGTCAAAAGACCAGACAAACAGATCCAGGGAACAGAATGGAGAACCCAGAAATAGGCCAATATAAATACAGTCAACTGACGTTTGACAAAGGAGCAAAGGCAAAACAATGATGCAAAGATAAGTGTTTTCAAAAAATGGTGCTGGGAAAACTGGACATTCACATCAGAAAACAAAGCTAGACACAGACCTGACAGCCTTCACAAAAATTAACTTGGAATGCATCACAGACATAAACATAAAATGCAAAGCTATAAAACTACTAGAAGATAACACAGGATACAATCTAGATGATCTTGAGTTTGGTAATGACTTCTTGCACACAAATATATTACTCACAGTATCTATCTATCACTGTCATTGCAGTAGATTGAATGTTTGTATTCCCTCCAAAACTCATATGTGGAAATTCTAACCCCCAATGTGATGGTATTAGGAGGTAGGGCCTTTGGCAGGTAATGAAGTCATGAGAGTGGAGCCCTCATGAATGGGATTAGTGCCCTTAAAAGAAGAGGCCAGAGAATGCTGGGAATGACAGTGCACACCTGTAGTCCCAGCTACTCAGGAGGCTGAGGTGGGAAGATGACTTGAACCCAGGAATTCAAGTCTAGCCCAGGCAACATGGTGAGACCTCCTCTTTAAAGAGGCCAGAGGCTCCCTGGCCCTCTTGCTGCCATGTAATGATACAGCAATTAAGTCTGCAGCCTGGAAGAGGGACCTCTTCAGAACCCAATCATGCTGACATCCTGATCAGTTCAGGGTCCCCTCCATTACACTATGCTCTGAGAAACAACACAGATTTCTGACAGTTCTGGAAGCTGAATCTGTTATTTGTAAGCCACCCAGTCTATGTGCTCTCTTACAGCAGCCCAAGCTAAGACAAGTACCAAGCCATGTCATTTCTCAGCTGAACTAAATACAAGTTCATTAGTTGTTTTCTTCTCCAAACCACTCTCCATACTATAGCCAGGCTGAGACTTTCAAAATGCAAGTACAACGTAAGGTTATCTCTCTTCATCTTTCAGTGTTTTCCTAGAGCTCTGAGGGAAAGCCCACAATGCTAAGCAGGCTCAAGACTGTCTCCTCCCCAATCCAGCCACATCCTGGACCTCTCTTCCCTGGCTTTCTGTACTGCAGCCACGCAGGCTTTCTTTTAGTTCTTCTAACACACTACACTCTCTTCTGCCACAGGGCCTTTCCACAAGCTACTTGGGAGGTTGAGGCAGGGGGATCACTTGAGCCTGGGAGATGGAGGCTGCAGTGAGTCCTGATTATGACATTGCACTCCAGCCTGGGTGACAGAGCAAGACCCTGTCTCAAAAAAAAAAAAAAAAAAAAAAATCCTGGGGTTTGAGACCAAAGCTCTACCTTTTTTCTCTAGTGTTTCCTGCAAAACTTCAAGGGCAATAGGTAAGCAATATAAGATATAAATGCTCCCTTCTGAAACATGGTTGACTCTTGGGATTTAACAGAAGTTTTAATTCTGAAGATGAAGAGGCAAAACATTTTATTTCCATGCACAGCCCTAATAACCAAGACCTACCTTTCTCTCAGAGAACTGGAAGAAACCACTTTCAAATTGCCCTACTCTGCCTGGTGTTCCCTCATCCCAGAGGAGATTGGCACTTCACATCCTATACCCTGAAGTCATATTCTATGCTCTTCTGAGATTCTCTCCTGAGGCCAGGCCCAAGTCTGTCCCACAGTGTCTAAATTTGAACTCTCAGAGATGTATCCTAAAGCAACAGGCTCATTCAGTTCCCAGAACGAGGCAGCGGATGTACAAAACTCAGTTCTGGTTCCCCTTCACTACACTCTACACTCTTCCTAACACAAGAATCTACGGCTCTCATCTGTGTGTACGTCCATCTTTTGCTACAACAGTAGTTCTCCAACTTTTTGGTCTCAGGACCCCCTATGATTTGAATATCATGTGTTCCCCTCCCAAATTCATATGTTGATACCTAAGGTCCAGCGTGACAGTATTAAGAGGTGGAACCTTTAGGAGGAGATTAAGTCATGAGGGCTCTGTATCCATGGATGGGACTAGTGACCTTAAAAATGGCTCAAAGGAACTAGCTAGGTTCTTTTGACCTTCCATCTTTCCCCATGTGAGGACAGTGTTCATCTCCTCTGGAGGATGCAGCAATAAGCTGCCATCTTGGACACAGAAAGTAAGCCCTCACTAGACGCTGAATCTGCTGGCATCTTGATCATGAACTTCCTAGCCTCCTGAACTGTAAGAAATACATTTCTGTTCTTTATAAATTACCCAATCTGAGATGTTTTGTGATGGCAGCACAAACAGACTAAGATGACACTCTTTTTTTTTCAGACAGGGTCTCACTCTGTAGCCCAGGCTGGAGTACAGTGGTATAATCATGGCTCACTGTAACCTCCAACTCCTGGGCTCAAGTGATCCTTCCACCTAGACCTGCTGAGTAGTTAGGACTACAGGTGCACACCACCACACCTGGCTAATTTTTTTTTCAGAGACAGAGTCTCACTATGTTGCCTAGGCTGGTCTTGAATTGCTGGCCACAAACAATCCTTTCAGCTTAGCCTCCCAAAGCAATGGGATTACTACAGGTATGAGCCACAGCACGTGGTCTAAGATAACACTCTTAAAACTTGAGGAGCCAAGGACTCAACACAGCAACACAATATTGAAGAACAAAGCTGGAGCATGGACACTACCCAACTTCAAAACTTATTATAAAGCTACCATAATCAAGACAGTGCAGTACTGTCAAAAGAATAGACAAATAGATCCATGGAACAGAGTAAAGAGCCCAGAAATAGACCACATAAATATAGTCAACTGACCCTTGGCAAAAGGGCAAAGGCAAAACAATGATGCAAAGATCGTCTTTTTTCTTTTTTTTTTCTCTTTATTCCCAGGGTCAACTCAAAAGATAGTCTTTTCAACAAATGGTGTTTGGACAACTGGACATCCACACCAGAAAATGAAGTTAGACACAGACCTGACACCCTTCACAAAAATTAACTCAGAATGGATCACAGTCATAAACGTAAAATGCAAAGCTATGAATCTCTTACTAGATAACATACAATAAAATCTAAATGAGCTTGAGTTTGACAATTACCTTTTAGGTATAACACCAAAGGCACAATCCTTGAAAGAAAGAATTGATAAACAGACTTCCACTCAATTTTGCTGTGAACCTAAAAGTGCTCTAAAATAAAACCTTGTCTTTTTAAAATTGAGGACCCCTAAGAGTTTTTGTTTATGTGAGTTTTATTTATTTACATTTACCATACTTGAGAGTCAAATTGAGGAATTAAAGAAAGTATTTACTTCAAGATAATAAGCCAATTATATGTTAACGCAAATAACATTTTTATGAAAAATAACTGTTTTCCAAAACATAAAAAATGAGAAGGGTGCCACCATTTTACACTTTTACACATCTCTTCCATGTCTTGCTTCATAGAAGATAGCTGGATTCTCATGTCTGCTCCTACATCCAGTCTGCTGTATTACCATTCATCATTAAGCTTCAGGAAAACACCTCTGTGCATTTGTAAAAGGAGAGTAAAAATGGCAAACGATGTCAGTACCATTATGAAAATAGTTTCTACCATGCAGATCCCCTGAAAGTGTGTTAGGGAGCCCCAGGCAGTGCTGTGCTAGTAAACATTGAATAATCTGCTCGATTGGCGGGGCGCGGTGGCTCACGCTTGTAATCCCTGCACTTTGGGAGGCCAAGGCGGGTGGATCACGAGGTCAGGAGATCGAGACCATCCTGGCCAACATAGTAAAACCCCATCTTTGCTAAAAATACAAAAGTTAGCTGGGTGTGGTGGCGTGCACCTGTAATCCCAGCTCCTCAGGAGGCTGAGGCAGGAGAATCACCATTGAACAAGCGAGGTGGAGGTTGCAGTGAGCTGACATTGTGCCACTGCTCTCCAGCCTGGCAATAGAGTGATATTCAGTCTCAAAAATAAATAAATAAATACATAAATAAATAGATCTGCTTGACTGGGGGATGGCTTCAGTTTGTAGCATTTGCAAATTTCTGTAGTTAAATACTTCCACTATGGCTAATTTCAAGGTAACAATGCGAGATGTCACTGAACCGGAGTTGGGAGAGAGATGCACACAACTGGCTCTTACCTGAACTCATCTGAACTAAGTAAGAGCCCATTAAGTGCTTTCCTAGTAAGAGCTGCTCCAGCACCCCAGGGGCCCTTGAAGCACATTTTGGAAACCACTGCCCTACTAGGCTGCTGTGTGGGCCCATGTCCTGACAGCTTTGTCCTAGCAGGCCCAGCACATGAGACTCTCAGTTTCCTTGCTCCTGCTGAATAGCCAGCAGAGGGCTGAATGCCCCATCCTTCCTCCCCATCCATGTGTGTATTTTCCAGACCTATTCAACAGGCCTAAGTCATTCACTGATCTTGTTTACTCTCTAAGATAGTTATTGTCCAGTACTTGTTTTTATGAAATTGAGTTTTTAATCTCACTACACATTGTAAAAAAAATAAGCATTTATGTTCGGTTATGAGATGTGGACTTGAGGTCTTTCTGGGTGAAGTTCTGGTATATAAATAGAGCTGTGATGACTCCCAGGGCAGGGTCTGTCTTCTTCTGAAGCTTTCTCAAGCCTGGACCCACTGCGTTCACTGACATGAGAGAGCCCAACAGCAGAACCAGAAAGGCTGATGCTTCTTTACTAACGAACATATGTATCTAATTAACTAGGTATTTTCAGCTGGCACTCTGTCTTTCCCAGACAGCTATTTAGTCGAAATGAGTAAGCACTCCATTTTATTAAAATCTTTCCTCTTTGTATATAATAGCTTACATAACAGAAACAGCAAAGAAGTTCAGTTCTTGCAAATCAGGGGGAAAAAAAATCAAAACTGCTAAATATAGACCTTATATATCGTCTTTCTGCAGTCAGTGGCATTCTTATTCCTGCCATCAATGGGATGTACAGTGTGGTATCCTACTGAAGAGTTGCTAACTCAAGCTGAAAGAGACAAGAGAAAATTATATCCCATATATTCCCTAAGAACTCTTGCTGAGTTTCTTTGAAATGCCATCTTCTTGTTTAATAAATTGATGCATCTTTTCCATGAGAATTTTTTAGGAATTTCAAAGGAAAGCTGTGGATGCCACCATTTAAATTCCTTACTTACATATCTCTATCGATTCATTTATGAGGAAAATGTAATAAACATTCTCACATTCTGCAGCAGTGTGAGCTTAGCCTTCAGTTACAACAAAAAGGACATATATTTTGCAGAGTTTAAGAAAGGTTTAACAAAGAAAGGTAGATCCTGGTCTGTCTGTCCATACCACCTCCATACCCGCCCCCTACAACATCCAGTTTGGATTAATGAAGATTTGAAAAATTGGGGAATGTTTTTTATCTATTATATTATAATGCATAAGAAATAAGTCCACAAACTTTGTCTCCAGGATTTTCAAATTCTGACTCTTGGGGAATTACTGATTACTACAGATGAAATCCTAGAGTGAAAAGGGCACAGGACCAGAGACTTCTATCTGCTCTGCCACTCACCATTTATGAAAGCTTGGGCAGGACACCCCCACAGCCCACTCATCTGCACATCCCTGCAATGATCCTGGGTTAGGTCCTGAGAATGCAGAGGCTGTGATGTTGCATCTGCCCTTGGGGCCCTCCAAGGACAGAAGAAATAAGGCACAAAAATGATGAATTACAATATCCCAGTAGCAAGTACCACAAACCGAGATCTAGACAAAGAGCTGGTACAGCCGACGTTGGGGGCTAGCTAACAATTTCTGGGTGTCTGTGCTGACTTCACAGAGAAGAATCTCAGCTGGTCTTGAAGAAAAAGGAGGCCTTTTCTAGATGAGGGAGATTAAAGAATTTCCCAGTATCACAAACATTCTAGAATGGTTAGTAATTAACTGCACAGCTCAAGTGGAATTAAGGGAACATGCCAGTCATTTGCCTGCTCGCTCAGATCCACTCATTCTTGCTCTGCTTAGGCCTGCGCCATGATGTTGGGTGAAATTTGATGCCACAAATTGTTTTCCAGGCTCCCAGGCTTCTGCCTAGGTTCAGCCAGTGAGAGGCACTGGGGTGGGAAGGGTGGGAAGAGGGGGAAGCCAGCGGATCTCTCCCCCATCCCTGGGTGGTGGGCAGCATCTCAACAGTGACTGGTGCTCCTCCACAGATCTAACGATGCCAGATGACCCCTCTCTCTGTGGATGGGCTGCTAGAAGGCAAACTGTCCATTTCTCAGCTCTGCTCAGTCTTGCTGGCAGTGTTGGCCCACTGCCTAATACCCACTTCAGTAGCATGGGAAGGATACAAATATGTTATTCCCCAAACCCATCCAAGGCCCACCAGTGGTTCCTGGGCTTAAAGAGGAGAGATTGCGGTTGGTGATAAAGAAAAGTTAAAATGTCCAAGCCCAAGATGCCCTGGGTGGGTTCCAGATGCTCTGCTGCTAGGATAGGTAGTTTCCCTCTCAACATCATAGCTGGCCTTGAATCCTGTGATTCTGCTCTTCCAGGTACAACAGGAAGCAAAAAAAAAAAAAAAAAAAAGGTGGGTGAGCTGGGCACAGTGGCTCATGCCTGTAATCTCAACACTTGGGGTGGCCAAAGCAGGAACTGCTTGAGCTCAGGAGTATGAGACCAGCCTGGGCAACATGGCAAAACCCCATCTCTACAGAAAATACAAAAATTCGCAGGGTGTGGTGGTGTACTCCTGTAGTCCCAGATACTTGGGGGGGGCTGAGGCAGGAAGATTGCTTGAGCCTGGGAGGGTCAAGGCTGCAGTGAGCCATGTTCATGCCACTGCACTCCAGCCTGGGTGGTGGAGAAAGACCCTAACTTGAGAAAGAAGAGGAGAAGAGAAGAGAAAGAGGGAAGGGGAGGAGAGGGGAGGGAAGGGGAAAAGAGGGGAAGGCAGAGGGGAGGGAGGGGAGGAGAGGGGAGGGGAGGGAAAGGGAAAGGGAAAGGGAAAGGGGAAAAAGGAAAGGGAACGGGAAAGGGAAAGGGAAAGGGAAAGAGGGAGGAAGGGAGGGAGGAAGAAAGGAAGGGAGGATGAGGAGGAGGGAGGGGGGAAAGAGGGAGGAGGGGAAAGGAGGAGGAGGAAGGAGGGGAGGGTGAGGAAGGAGGAGGTGAGGAAGGAGGAGGGGAGGGGGAGGAGGGAGGAGGGGACAGACAGGAGGGAGGAGGGGAGGAGGAGGAGGAAGGAGGGGAGGGGGACGAAGGAGGAGGGGAGGGGGAGGAGGGGGAAGGGAAGAAGGAGGAAGAGAGCTGGAAGGGGAGGAGGGAGGAGGGGGAAGGGAATTGGGAGGGGGAGGAGGGAGGAGGGGAAAGCACTTTATCTCTTATGCTATCCTCCTGGCACAAGGGAGAACTGAAAAGATCTCAAAGTTTTTCCAAAACTTCTGTCTGTGACAGCCCAGAGAAGTCTTCCCTCAAAAATTGAAGAAGAAATCCCTTTAACCAGGCAAGTCAGAAAAAGAAGGTCTTGGAGAAAGGGAGAACCAATAAGGCTGTTTTCCTATATCTCTGGGAGTTCATGTAGAGACCAGGTGACACCACAAACAGCCAGACAACATGTGACCATAGTCTACCAATGTACCGTCCTGGCCCCAGGATAACTTTGATGTCTTAAAGGCAGAGAGATAAGGGTGTCTTTTCTTTGCTTTTCCTTATGGTTTCTCAGAAGAAAGTTGTCTTGGAAACAGGACAAAAAATGATGTGAGTATAATTTTAATTCCTTTAAAGAGAACTGTGACTTCTCTCCAAGTTCCCCATTCTCCTGGCAGTGCAGCAAGCACTATCGGTGAGTAGACGGGCGCACAAAGGCTGAAGGGCATCCCTCTTCCCCCAACCCCCTGGGCTGCACACCCACACTGGCCTGACCGAGGCTGCCGCTGCCTCAAGTCAGTCACACTTATAGGGATGCCTTTAGTGGAACTCTCTTCCTTGGAACCATGTGGAGTCCACCTGACTCCAGGTGGTACTTTTAAGGTATCTAGGAGACCTTTAGATTTGCTCTCAGAACACAGACCATAGACCAAGCGGAAAAAATAACAAAGAAAGCTCTACTGATCTTCCCACACAGCAGCTTTCTCCACTAGGAAGCCTTGCTCAAGGCCAGTGTGCTCGGCACCCATCCTTGGCTCCAGCTCTGTAACAGTCTCCACTGCTACCTAGGGACAACTCCTTGAGCTCCTCAAGGGCAGTGCTATCCTCATTAGTCTCCAGAACAGAGTGCCCAATAACCCAGATAACTCAATAATTAATGTGGAAACTCAGAGTTAATGTGAGGATATGGTGAGAAAGGGCAGTGAAGGCAATCTAGGAGAGTTCCGATGGAGGCAGAGGGCAAGGGAAGGGTATGAAAAGATGTGAATGGAGCCTAAGTGCTGGAATCGGATATGGGTTAGGATTACAAGTAGTGAGGTTATGTCCAAGTACAGAGACAGCTAATTTATATGCATTAGCTCATTTTAACACCTTAGCCTGGTGTGGTGGCTCAAGCCTGTAATCCCAGCCATTCAGGAGGCTGTGGCGGGAGAATTGCTTGAGCCCAGGAGGTCAAGGCTGCAGTGAGCTATGATGGTGCCACTGTACTCCAGCATAGAAAACAGCGTGATATATGATATGATATATATATTATCATTATTCCCCATTTTTTGAGTGAGGAAATGGAAGCTTGGAGAGGTCCTACTGCCAGGTAGTGAGGAGGCCCTCAGGGGATGAGGAGCTGGGGTTCCTCCCTGCCCCTCCAAGGTTCCAAGAGTCAGCATGGTATGGCAGTCCACCATGGACTCTGGAGTAGACTTGCCTGGATTCAAATCCTGCCCATACCCCTTATAGCCATGTGACCTCAGGCAAATTACTTAGTCTCTATGCTTCTCCATTTCTTCATCTGTGTTGATAATGAAATGCTGGTAAGGATATGGAGTAAAGGGAACTCTCGTACACTGTTGGTGGGAATGTAAATTAGTACAGCCTCTATAAAGAACAGTATGGAGGTTCCTCAGAAAACTAAAAACACAACTACATATGATGCAGCAATCCCACTGCTGGGTATATACTCCAAAGAAAGGAATTCAGAATACTGAAGAGATATCTGCACTCCCAGGTTTACTGCAGCACTGTTCACAAGAGCCAAGATTTGGAAGCAACCTAAGTGTCTATCAACAGATGAATGGATACAGAACTTTTGGTACATATACACAATATTCAGCCATAGGAAAGAACAAGATCCTATCACTTGCAATACGGATGGAACTAGAGGACATCATGTTAAGTCAAATAAGCCAGGCACAGAAAGACAAGCTTCACATGTTCTTGTTTGTGGGAGCTAAAGATGAAAGCAATTGAACTTATGGAGCTAGAGAGCAGAAGGATGGTTACTAGAGGCTGGGAAGGGTAGTTGTGAGGTAGAGAAAGTGTTGGGGAGAGGAAGAGGGGATGATTAATGGGCACAAAAATATAGTCGGAGTGATCATATAGAATACAATCTGGTATTTGATAATGGTGACTATAGTCAACAATAATTTATTGTAAATTTAAAAATAACTAAAAGAATTGGATGTTTGTAACACAAAGAAATGATAAATGCTTGAGATAATGGATACTTCATTACCCTGACAAGATTTTTATGCATGGTATGCCCATATCAAAACAGCTCATGTAGCCCATATACATCTAATACACACCCATAAAACTAAATTTAAAAAGTAGGACTTACGGTAATTCAAAAAAAAGAAAAAAAATACCAAAAATAAAATGGTGATAATGATAACAGTAGTTATCACATAGAACTTCTGAAGATTAAATAAGTCAATACTATATACATTGGGGTTGGCCCGTCACATGTTTTATAAATAAAGTTTTATTAGAACACAGCCATGTTCATTCAGTTATATATCGTCTATGGGTGTTTATGTGATACCGCAGAGGAGCTGAGCAGTTGCCCCACAGACCATATGGCCCACAAAGTCAATATATACTTACTACCTGGTTCTTTACAGAAAAAGTTTGCTGACCCCATCTGCATGAAGTGCTTATAGTAGTACAGCAGAGAAGTGTCACAGGGGCTCTTAATATTATTAAGCACTTGCCCCTGAGTCCCTCCATCAATGTCCCCCACTCTGAGAAAACCTGACTGCCTGACATGCATTTGCCTTCTCATTTCACCCAATTTTGAATTCATGGTTACACTGGACTATCTCGCACTAAACATTTATTCATTCGGTCACTTTCTGTAAATTATTTCTTGGCTAGGAATCTACATAGGCAGACACTGATAAGGAAACAAAAATGCGGCACAGTAGGCCCAAATTCCCCAGCCCCTGGAGCTCCAGCCCATTCTCCATCTTCAGCCCTGCAATTCCCCATCAACCTCTTTCTCCCCCTGTCCCTCTACCTCCCATTCCCAGCTCCAGAGCAGTGCCGGATGGAAACACACCTTCCAGGTGGCACCCACAGATCTGTGTTCTTTACCAGATCTCATCAGCGCCTCTCTGAAGCCTTCCTGGCCCTCCCAAGCTCATCTGTACTCTACCTGGAATAAGGTGGCAGGCCCAAATCATCTGGGGATGTAGTATATGAGGCCATTTGTAGTCTGGGAAAACATATTATGTTAGTTCGATGATCTAAACTGTAATTGCATCATCACACTTGCTGACTAGTCTCTCCTAACCCTCCTGCCCTTTATGTGACATTTGGCACTTCCTTCTTGAAACTCCCTGATCCCTTGGCCCTAAGGTTCTGTATTTGCGGTTCTCCTCCCAGCTCTGAACCACACCTCTCGGAGGCTCCTTGTTAGCATCCCACTCCAGGAGGATTTCCCAAGGCTGGGTCAGCCTTCTGCCCTTTGTTCTTGATTCAGCTCAAGAACTTCTCCTCATTGAAAGGATTCTCCTCATTAGAAAGGCTGCCTACTGCCACCTCAACTGCATTCCCAAATGCAGGTGGGTGTGCCTTTTATAAAAAGAGGCCAAGCGCACTGGCTCACGGCTGTAATCCCAGCACTTTAGGAGGCCAAAGCAGGCAGATCAGTGGAGGTCAGGAGTTCAAGAGCTGGCCAACATGACGAAACCCCATCTCTACTAAAAATACAAAAATTAGCCAAGTGCAGTGCATGCACCTGTAGTCCCAGCTACTCAGGAGGCTGAGGCAGGAGAATCACTTGAACCCGGGAGGTGGAAGCTGGAGTGAGCTGAGATCATACCTTTGCACTCCAGCCTGGGTGACAGAGCAAGACTCCATCTCAAAAAACAAAAACAAAAGAAACAAAGACAAGTACAAAGAGCACAAACACTTGTGAATGAGCCTCCAGTGGCCCCTCGAGCTTGGCTGCACAGCCAACAGACAACAGTTTAGATTGAG